TGTACATCACTACTAGGTTAGTCAATAACACCAGATGTGTACTACTTACTACACACTTCTGTACATCACTGCCAGGTTAGTCAATAGAACCAGCCGTGTACTACTTACTGTACACTACTGTACATCACTGCCAGGTTAGTCAATAACACCAGATGTGTACTACTTACTGTACACTAGCGTACATCACTGCCAGGTTAGTCAATAAAACCAGCCGTGTACTACTTACTGTACACTACTGTACATCACTGCCAGGTTAGTCAATAACACCAGCCGTGTACTACTTACTGTACACTAGCGTACATCACTGCCAGATTAGTCAATAAACCCAGCCGTGTACTACTTACTGTACACTACTGTACATCACTGCCAGGTTAGTCAATAACACCAGATGTGTACTACTTACTATACACTACTGTACATCACTGCCAGGTTGGTCAATAACACCAGATGTATACTGCTTACTGTACACTAGTGTACATCACTGCCAGGTTAGTCAATAAAACCAGCCGTATACTACTTACTGTACACTAGTGTACATCACTGCCAGGTTAGTCAATAAACCCAGCCGTGTACTACTTACTGTACACTACTGTACATCACTGCCAGGTTAGTCAATAACACCAGCCGTGTTCTACTTACTGTACACTACTGTACATCACTGCCAGGTTAATCAATAACACCAGATGTATACTGCTTACTGTACACTAGTGTACATCACTGCCAGGTTAGTCAATAACACCAGCCGTGTACTACTTACTGTACACTAGTGTACATCACTGCCAGGTTAGTCAATAACACCAGATGTATACTGCTTACTGTACACTAGTGTACATCACTGCCAGGTTAGTCAATAAAACCAGCCGTGTACTACTTACTGTACACTACTGTACATCACTGCCAGGTTAGTCAATAACACCAGCCGTGTTCTACTTACTGTACACTACTGTACATCACTGCCAGGTTAATCAATAACACCAGATGTATACTGCTTACTGTACACTAGTGTACATCACTGCCAGGTTAGTCAATAACACCAGCCGTGTACTACTTACTGTACACTACTGTACATCACTGCCAGGTTAGTCAATAACACCAGATGTATACTGCTTACTGTACACTAGTGTACATCACTGCCAGGTTAGTCAATAAAACCAGCCGTGTACTACTTACTGTACACTACTGTACATCACTGCCAGGTTAGTCAATAACACCAGCCGTGTACTACTTACTGTACACTAGCGTACATCACTGCCAGGTTAGTCAATAACACCAGATGTATACTACTTACTGTACACTACTGTACATCACTGCCAGGTTAGTCAATAACACCAGATGTGTACTACTTACTGTACACTAGCGTACATCACTGCCAGGTTAGTCAATAACACCAGATGTATACTGCTTACTGTACACTAGTGTACATCACTGCCAGGTTAGTCAATAAAACCAGCCGTGTACTACTTACTGTACACTACTGTACATCACTGCCAGGTTAGTCAATAACACCAGCCGTGTTCTACTTACTGTACACTACTGTACATCACTGCCAGGTTAATCAATAACACCAGATGTATACTGCTTACTGTACACTAGTGTACATCACTGCCAGGTTAGTCAATAACACCAGCCGTGTACTACTTACTGTACACTACTGTACATCACTGCCAGGTTAGTCAATAACACCAGATGTATACTACATACTGTGCACTACTGTACATCAGTGCCAGGTTAGTCAATAAAACCAGATGTATACTGCTTACTGTACACTACTGTACATCACTGCCAGGTTAGTCAATAACACCAGATGTGTACTACTTACTGTACACTAGCGTACATCACTGCCAGGTTAGTCAATAAAACCAGCCGTGTACTACTTACTGTACACTACTGTACATCACTGCCAGGTTAGTCAATAACACCAGATGTATACTGCTTACTGTACACTAGTGTACATCACTGCCAGGTTAGTCAATAACACCAGATGTATACTACTTACTGTACACTACTGTACATCACTGCCAGGTTAGTCAATAACACCAGATGTGTACTACTTACTGTACACTAGCGTACATCACTGCCAGGTTAGTCAATAAAACCAGCCGTGTACTACTTACTGTACACTACTGTACATCACTGCCAGGTTAGTCAATAACACCAGCCGTGTTCTACTTACTGTACACTACTGTACATCACTGCCAGGTTAATCAATAACACCAGATGTATACTGCTTACTGTACACTAGTGTACATCACTGCCAGGTTAGTCAATAACACCAGCCGTGTACTACTTACTGTACACTACTGTACATCACTGCCAGGTTAGTCAATAACACCAGATGTATACTGCTTACTGTACACTAGTGTACATCACTGCCAGGTTAGTCAATAAAACCAGCCGTGTACTACTTACTGTACACTACTGTACATCACTGCCAGGTTAGTCAATAACACCAGCCGTGTACTACTTACTGTACACTAGCGTACATCACTGCCAGGTTAGTCAATAACACCAGATGTATACTACTTACTGTACACTACTGTACATCACTGCCAGGTTAGTCAATAACACCAGATGTGTACTACTTACTGTACACTAGCGTACATCACTGCCAGGTTAGTCAATAAAACCAGCCGTGTACTACTTACTATACACTACCGTACATCACTGGCTGGCCAGTCAGTAAATCCCGGTTTTTGCTACTTACTGTACGTTAATATGTATTACCACTAGACTTTAAATGAATAGAAATACATGTAGATGTGAATTACAATTACGTAGACCAATACTATGTGTATAAATATATTATTTCAATCCAATACAGTGCGTCACTGTCATTGTCAGAGACCAGATGTCACTGATAGACTATACCCCAAGTAATCAACATCACATTGTACTGACACATCAAGGTGCCAGATCAACCTCATTTAAATGTTGTTAAAAGTCGCCCGTTTCAATGTACTATCTCAAATATACTAGGGTCACAATACCTCACCCGTTTGACAAGATCAGATCTTTTAGCGGCAGTTATGTAGGTCACGGGTCTACGTAAATATGTCTATGCAAACATATCCACAAGCGTCATTTCGACAGTTCCTTAGGCATACAAACTGATCTAATACGCATTGCGCTTGTGCTGCATTGGGCGATGCGGGTTATAATCTTGCTCTAGGGAGGAATCAGCCTACTTTTATTAAATGTTGACATGACCATGACCATGACACTGCACAATACATGTTAGACTGGGCCGACACAGGGACACAGATAACCCAAGACTGAGTTGAAGTGTGTGATCGTACAACTTTAATAAATGAGTGAGTGAGTGAGTTAAAATTTACCGTCACATCGGCATTATTTCAGCCATATCGTGACGAGATATATTTAGACCAAAAAAACCTTCGAAGGACAGTAAAATAACTAGATGTATCACAGATTTTATTTAAAACTAGCTGATAATCATTTAAATATAACTCCCTACGTAACAATACAAGATAAAAATGAGCTATAGATCGCCAGCCACTGAAGGTAGATCACCACACTGGAGTCCATGCTTTAATAAATGATCCTGTAATAGCGCAATCGGGATGATGCCTGCTTACGTTTCTCGTATTTTAATGACGGGTCCACTAACTTCAAAAACCCTACGATCTAACCAGCAAGTTGAATGTCCAGGTCGTGGTTGGCCTTTTATAGAAAGTCCTTTAGCCATGTACACCACGCAGAACTGACGTGGTCCACGTTGACGGTGGATTTTGCTGTTGCAAATCACGGTCAGTACACTCTGCTTGCCGGGAGGCTGTCACTTAATCATTTATAATTATAAATGATTAAAATCTATGCTCGTTGGAAACGCATAGAAAGGCATTGAAAAGCCCTAACCTTTTCTTTGACATTGCCAAGCACAGGTGGAAGCGATGACATTTATATGACGAGATAAGGAACAGCGATATAAGGCTCTACCGAAACATGATATAACGTGGAAATCGCCACAACTAATGTATTCATTAAGTCATCGTAAACATTCTTTCGGGATTCGTGAATGTAATTGTGGTTTGTGGTATCTCATCTGTAGGCTGCGGCATTCGGTCTTTACAAACCATGATCACTTTTATTTGCACTGGTTTGATGATTCTACCATCAGACTACCATTTCACAAAAACTATATGTAATTGGACTGGGTTAGCTTGTATGGGTATGATTCCTGGTGTTTAAATGTGACAAGTAGAAAAGTATCTCTGCACTAATAACAGTTAATTTTTCTTTTGTTTACATTTTGAACCAGGGGCGGATTTCAAGGTACTTTCTTTACTTTATTTTCAAAGTGACAATTTATGTTGGCTGTATAGACAACTGGGTAGTGAATTCAGATATGTATTATGAACTGGTGTATATGCATTGCAGTAGGAAGTATGTGTAATGGTATGGACGTAAGTGGTAGCGGACAGTCTTTTAAGCATGCATTTTTACTTATTTACGTTTTAATACTTACAACATTAGGGAAGAGAATTTATGGATGTCAACTTCTTTGTTGTGGGGAACAACGTTTCGGAGTAAATGCTTACTTCTTCATCATGAATGAATGCCATGAGGCAGAGAAGATACATGTGTACATGTAAGAACAACACATCTAAAGATGTGAATCTTTAGGGAACCAACAGATAATAAGCGATTAGCAATATACAATGGAAGCCAACGGAATGCAGTGATAGTTATGGACAACTGGAAGCCAGGCCACCATTGCACTTCAGCGACTAAGTCCTGTTTGTCATCGTGATCTACGATCAGTTGTGATCAGGTAGAGACGACTTTCGTCGGAGCAGTAAATTCGTTACCAGTTGAAAAGGTGTTAACGCTGTGATGCGATGTTCCACGCCAATCTTGGCCTTTGATATTCAGCGGTATGCAAGTAACGACTTATAGGTTGTGATGCGACATGAAGCAGCTCTGAAGCAATAATAATCATTGTCTTCAAGATGTTTCTTCGTCTTTCATTCATGAGACGATTTTTCAAGATTATGTTTATTTTAAATCAACAGAATTGTAAATCAACACCCACGCGACAAGAGAAATCTGACAGTAACATATTGAATACAGTTCTATCATCATAATAACAACACATGGCATTGCAATGCTAACTAAATGTTATTCGTTTGTACCTAAAATCTGCTGTTGTCATAGTCCCTTCGTAAACACAAATGGACAAGCATTTCTCATGTTTTCAACCAGTGTCGGGATGGGTATGTTTTCTTAAACCTCTTGAATCTACAGTTCTGTTTTATCTGGATATTAACAATGCTTTTGTCAGAAGCATGAAAGGACATTGCAATAACAATTACAAATGGTCCGTTTGTACGTAACACCTGCAATATTCATAGACCCTATAGCTATCAAAATGAAAGTGACAAGACCCTTTCCATTTCCAGTCGATTGTGCAGTTAAAATCAAATTGAGAAGGATCATTCATGTCTTCCACCAATGTCAATATGGAAAGGTTTCCTTCAACCTTTCTTCATATACTTTATCAAATCGCTCGCTCTGGGCCACAGTGAACCAGTTCTTCCAGTCACCAGTTGTACCTGTAACACAACATATTTTTTTAGTTTCATGAATATATTTGACACTCCAACATGTACAATGTTACATATCCTGAATAAATGCTTTAGTGCTGACTTGATTTACATAGGGAGTATGTCTTTAAATATTTTTATATTTGAGATAAATATGCAGAAACTATAAGCAGGTACTTTGCCTTGTCATCAGGTTTTAGCTTCAGCTGTCCAATTACTTGTACCTTTTCTGAAATATCCACTTGAACCATTTTGCCACTTAAAGTGGAAGGTTTGATCCTTCACTTTTTCGTTTGCGTGCTTGAGATTCTTAAAAGAGCAAGCATCGGATATTGCCTGGTATGTTTGATCCGGTAGAGGGCGTCCCAGGTAATCTGCCATTCTTCTTATTTCCTGAACGCAATCCTGAAAAAGGGAATGATGGCATGATGGTGTATACTGTTATTTTTCTTTTCTATGTATGCATGTTCTTTGGAACACCTTGTGATTTGATATATATATATATATATATATATATATATATATATATATATATATATATATATACTAACGGAATAAAGTAGCTTTGCTTCATATAAAGTTCAATAAAAAATATTTATTCAGAAATTTCACAGCTTAATATTATTCATGACGGCATCTCAACTTTAAGGTCGTGATGAACAGTTTGCACGAGCATGTTAATGCACGGCACACAAGTTTGTTGTTTACGCATTTGTTGGGAGCACGATGTTCACACACGTGGCGTGTGAAAGGGGAAAGCGCGCAAAGAGTGTTAGCTATTAGGTGCTCATAAAAAAATAATTTAATTTTGTTTAACCGTAAATAACGCTTACACAATACCACGGATTGCTGACAAACAACGTGTACCCGCCGTGACTATGCTGGAAACAGAAATCACGCAAAACGAGTAAATGAGTGAGTGAGTTGGTTTAACGCCGCTTTTAACAGTATTACAGTCATATCCCGGCGTGTCAGATTTATGTGGGAGGAAAGTCTGAAGTGATGCGGGTCTCAGACGTTTACTACTTCGGTGAAGCCCACGAGCACGGGTGTGGTGCTGACAAACTTAGAAACATAATTTGGGGCAAACCGCCATTGAACCCCCAATCATAGGTTTCTGGCGAGCCTGAGAGACGCAACTCTGCTCAGCGAATCGCGGCGCCTTAGACGACTGGGCCTACCGTGCCCCCCGACGCAAAACGAAGTTGACAGATATTGTAATGTTTATCGAACCACAATATCATCTATTTGGAGACGTTATCAATAGTAGGGCAAACCTAGTAGGGCGACCTATCGTTAGCTTGTGACGTCACGTCAATAAGAAAACCGAAGTCGGTTGGTGCATCTACGGAATTAATACCAAACTGCAACATTAACAGCTCGGATAATTCCTGTTTTGACATTAATTATTCGCAGAACCGTACGCAACTGGTTAAGGGGGCACAACTTCCGGGCCAAACATCCAGCGATACTCACACCATCACCGTCAAGTACGCCTAGCTTGATGTAGACAGTATCCGAGTTGGTTGGTTGGTTTGTTGTTTAACGCCGCACTCAGCAATGTTCCAGCTATATGACGGCGGTTTGTAAATAATCTGGAGTCTGGACCAGACAATCCAGTGATTAATATCATGAGCATCGATCCACGCAATTGGGATCGATGGCATGCATCAACCAATTCAGCGAGCCTGACTACCCTATCCCGTTAGTCGCCTTTTACGACAAGCATAGTTACCTTTTACGGCAAGCATGAGTTGCTGAAGACCTATTCTACCCCGGATCTTCACGGGTCTGATCTGATGCAGTGATCTAACTGCAACACCGTTCACGGGCATTAAAATCTGCTCGCACACGTCGGGATGTATCGTCTTAGCCAATCATCAATGACCGAAAGACAGGTACAGTTTTCTGTCCAGGTCAAGGTTCACCTGAACAGCTCTGATGTTCTTGCAAGGGTCGACAAGCACCCGGGAGAAGGTTTGAGCAACGTTTCTACCAGTCAAAGTCATCAGTATGGGGGCGGAATTGTCATGGGAGAACACAGCTCATCATTATTTATCGAAATTAGATAGAGTACGCTATCGGAAGGACATCGTTGAAGATCATGTATCTATCATTTGTTGTTGTTTGTTTCTTTCTTTTGTTTTTGTTCGTTGTTTAACACTGAACTCAGCAATATTCTAGCTATATGACGGCGGTCTGTAAATAATCGAGTCTGGACCAGACAATCCAGTGATTGACATCATGAGCATCGATCCATGCAATTCGGATACGATGGCGTACATCAACCAAGTCAGCGAGCCTGACCACCCGATCCCGTTAGTCGCCTCTTACGACAAGCATAGTCGCCTGTTACAGCATGCATGGGTTGCTGAAGACCTATTCCAAACCCGGATCGTCACGGGTGCTATCCTTTGTGCATCTACACAATGTTACGTTGCAGTAGGATAAGACCCACCCACACGTTGCAACAAATGTTTTGGGGCAGCATAAAACTGCTTTACTGCCATGTTGGCTGTTTCCCCATAAAACATGTTTGAAATGAGATGCAACGACGCCTGCAGCAGTATCAGAACCATCCGGTTATGCCAGCTAAGTTGGGCCAATGGGAACAACATGCCCTAGGCTCTTTTCAATGACCTGATGTCTTCAACGCCGTATCGACGTAAACGGCTGTCACACTGAATATAGACATTGTTAACTGAGTTGTTACACCACCCTCCCTTTTGGCGTGTCGCTCTGTCTCCTGTTACCATGCATGGATATTGTCAATGAATTTGTCATGATGAAACATTAATCACATTTCCAAATAACATGTTGTTTTTTTCAATGACATAACACTCACACCAGTTTGCTTAAAGCACAACTACTTCTTTGCGTTTGTATACATCAGATCTTGGTATTGGATATCTAAGAATTGGAGGTCTAAACGTAAGCATCGGTGTGCATACTGTGAAAAGCCGCATAAAAAACAATAAGAGCTTCACAGACACGCTATTTCTAAAACTATAGATGGACTTTTTTGCCTGTATTGCGTACGTGTTGTACATGGAACGGAATTTACCATTAAGCTTTCCAGTTCAGATTAATTGAGCAATACCTTCTTCATATCTTCATACTGGAGTCTGCAAATTTCAAAGCCTTTGTGAGCTTCAGAAACGTTGGCCCACTCGATGGTGTGTTCGAAATAGGGCACACCGGGTACTTGAAAATAAAGCAAAGGAAAAGTGATTTGGTTGGTTGGTTTGTTGTTTAACGCCGCACTCAGCAATATTCCAGCTATATGACTACGGTCTGTAAATAATCGAGTCTGGACCAGACAATCCAGTGATTAATATCATGAGCATCGATCCACGCAATTGGGATCGATGACATGCATCAACCAAGTCAGCGAGCCAGACCACCCGATCCCGTTAGGCGCCTTTTTCGGCAAGTATGGGTTGCTGAAGATTTATTCTATCCCGGATCTTCTCGGGTCCAAGGAAACGTGACGTAATTATGGTGATGATAATGGTCATAATGTTCTTGATATGGGTGGTAAACAACTTCAGGTTTTACTTCGTTTCTGTTTTAAAAACGGACATTAATGAAACAGTCAACATATAAAATAAGTTTCATTTGTTTGAACAAGTGTATGCGAATATGCGAGAATACTCTCAAACTTGCAAACACGTCTGTTCAAACAACATAAGAATGATCTCTTTCCATGATCCATTGGGCAGTTAACGCGTTGTCTCTGAACTTGGTGACCATAGATAGAGTTACATCTCAGTCTACAACCCTTGAAGGAAGTTTGTAAAGCATGACAGAAAATATCTCTCCTCTTTATTGCGAAAACAACAAGTAAAATGCTTGACTTTCTTATCTCAATCCTCAAAGCTTCAGGAAAGTTTCCCAAAATTGAATGTTTATTGCGGAAACAATGTGTTAAATGACGTGCTTCCTCTTAGAAATCATCAAGGTGAAATTTGGGGACAGGACATTTTGGTAGATAAAAAAAGGAGACAATACCACGGAAACGAATTGTGACAACCTTCTTGCTGATCAGTTTTTATGATGCAAATCAAAACATTGAAACATATTTCGTTTGGCTATGAAAAGGGTTACCGCAGCTATTATTTAAGGCAAACAAACACTTACAAGATCCGTCGAGATAAAGATCAATGAAGTCGTCCCAGGAACCGGTGTAGCCTTGTTTCCCTAAAGGGTTGTCCTTCCAGATCTGTTTGCTGAACTGATTGTAGGACGACACAACGCAATCCTTAACATTCCGCCTGACGTACACCACCTTGCATCTTTGGTTCCACACTGCGTCTGGAAGTTGGCTGAAGTCACGGTTTGCATGATTACGTAATCCATTATAAAATGCGGAAACCGACCGCCAGACAGAAAAAACATTCTTTCCCTGTGTTAACCATTTTGTTTTTAATTCACGGAGTTACATCTTCTGTGATGTGTTCTTTTTTCTTGTGTATATATATATATATATATATATATATATATATATATATGTGTATATATGTGTATATGTGTATATATCCTTACACATTAGGAATACATTCTAAGATATACATTCTTCTATATGCATTATACATTCTTCTAAATACATTATACATCCTTATGCATTCTTGAACATACATTACATTTTTATATATACATATACTTTTATATACATATACATATATATATACATTCTCATATATTTATTATTTGACTACTTGTATTAAGCTTTTGTTTCTGATATTGCCTACCCAGGAAGTAAATGGGTGTGAAGGATCCTTGGTGATGCCAGTTCCTCCAGTTCTTCCTCGGTCCTGTATTCCAGCCATGCAGAGTTCTGCCAGTGTTTGGCGTACTCGGCCTTGCCTGCCACGATCATGTTGAGGATCTCCCACGTCCAGTGTGTACCTTATGTATGTTACAATTACACATCAAAACCGCATGTAAACATTCCTTTTATTAATTTGGTTATTTACACACTGATCGTTAATGTGTATGATTGTCCTAACTTCGAATTCTATAATCTTAAATTTCAGTGATTTGAAGTAGCTTTCTGCTACTATGACTTGTCATTTGTCATATCTTGAAAACTTAGATGAAATGTCATCACTTGAGATGTGTTTACTGTGTTATTAATCATCATACGTTTGTACCTACACCCAGTTGCAGTGTGTTGTGCTCTATGATATTTCTAGATTATTTTAGTCTGAAACATATTGAGTCGTGCCTGTAATAATCTGACCTTTCTGTCAAGTGAAACGAACTGAAGCAGACATAATGTGCATAATCCTTCATGTCCACTCTAAACAGCTGTCCTTGCTCCATCACGCAATGTCACAAATGCTCCCTTATTCCATCTTGTATCATATGTATTGCAAGTAATTAATTGACTGATAATGGATGCGTTACCAGTATGTGGACCCGTGAAGATTCCGGGTTAGAATAGGTCTTAGCACCTCATACTTGTCGTAAAGGTGACTAACGGGATCGGGTGGTCAGGCTCGCTGAATTGGTTGATACATGTCATCGTTCCCAATAGCGTGGATCGATGCTCATGAAGTCAATCACTGGATCGTCTGGTCTAGACTACATTATTTTACAGACATACAGCTGGAATATTGCATAACAACAATGGTTGGTTGGTTTGTTGTTTAACGCCGCACGCAGCGATATTCCAGCTATATGCGGTCTGTAAATAATCGAGTCTGGACCAGACAATCCAGTGATTAATATCATGAGCATCGATCAACGCCATTTGGATCGATGACATGCATCAACCCAAACAGCGAGCCTGAGCACCCGATCCCGTTAGTCGCCTTTTACGACAAGCATTGTCACCTTTTACGGCAAGCATGGGTTGCTGAAGACCTATTCTACCCCGGATCTTCACGGGTCTCATTACAATGGAATAAAGGTCAATGATATTTTCAATTACCAACAGGATATTACCTGACTTTGGGTATGTGCAGAGTAAGATGTCATCCACACGGATAGGAATACACTTCACTTTCTTCAACCTGTCTACTAGTATAGCAGCATGCACAAATCCATCAAGCATCACCAGGTCAGCATTGACCCCTGCCGCCATTGCTTTCTCCGCTTGCGTCGACATCTTAACCAACATATTAAAGTGAGTGAGTCAGTTGGGTTTAACGCTGCTTTGAACTGTATCCCACGTATATCAGCGTTTAGGAAGCGTCGGGAAAGCCCGAAGAGATGCCAGTCTTCGACGTTTACAACTTTGGTGAAACCCACCATCACTATATGATGCTGATAAATCTAGAAATATAATCGGGGCGGACCAGGATTCAAACCTACAATCACTGTTGTCTGTCGTGCCAATTTGACGCAAATCTGTACAGAGAATTGCAGCCCTTTTAGACGAATGGGCCACCCGTGCCCCCATATTAAAGTAACAGAAATACTATTTTATCATGATCTGATATTCTTTCATGTCATAAACAAATGGAAATGTAAACAGTTCAAAACATCAACAAGCAGTGTCATTATGTTCACCCTGGCCTTTTTTCTGCCTGCATATTACAAATAATGTGTTGGTGGGCGCATTGGTTTAACATCTTAAACTTACGTCGTTGTGGTATGCGTTGTTTTATACACCAAAGCAGTATCCGTAGTTCTACTCGCTCCTTGTCAACAATAGTACTAGGTCCGTGGTTAACACTGCATGATACTACTTAATCACATAAATGCAATCCTGGTTAAAACACTAGATGTTTATTTCGTACTGTACACAACTGTCCATCACTGATGGGGTCGCCAATATGATCCGATGTGAGCTGCATACGTTTCACATCAATACATTGCTGTCATGCTAGTTAATAACACCCGATCTGACAGCTTACTGCTTGAGTTGTCAATAATACAGGATGTGTAATATGTATTGTACTGTTCGCCATTGCTCGGTTAATTAATATTTTTTTATCATAAATTTGTATTCTAACGCCACACTAAACATTATTCAAGCTATATAATGGCGGTCTGTAAATAATCGAGCCTTTACCAGACAATCCAGCTATTGATGTCATGAGCATCGATCCACGCCATAGAAATAGAAACGCACAGGTAGTATGTTGTTCTTGAACTCGACTACACAAAATCCTGTATATAAATTGGATATATGTTATTTGAAATGTTGGTGACCTGATATTCAACAAACGGTGCGTCAAAATGCAGCCCTTGTCGAATGTAATGTCTCAAAGGGCATTGTTTTCACACTTGTTCAACAATGTCATGGAGGAAAATAATGAAGCAAAATGCACGTGCAAGTTATGGCATTCGTAACTCTCAGTGGCTATAAAAAGGCAAGCATAAACCAATAATTTGTCATTCATATGTCAACATTTTTCAAGTTCGAAAATGCCGAGACTCAGCACTGCCGGTCGGAACATCGCCATTGGACGTATCCAAAGAGGTGAATCGCAGTCTTCTGTTGCACGACACTTCAACGTCCATTACAGCACCATTTGTCGTCTTTGGGACCGATACACACAGTACAATTCCACTGCAGACAGTACGAGAACCGACCGACCAAGAGTTACCGCCCCTGCAGAGAATGCTACATTCGACTGTTCCATCTACGTCATCGCAATGTCACAGCTACGGAGACTGCGGGGTGCATCCCTGGTTTGAGAAGGATATCGGACCAGCTATCACTCAGATAAAAGGATCTGCCATACATGCTCAAACCTTGCTCATCGTCTAGACACTGCAATGTGCAGGGAGCTCATATCCTTGAAACAATCGTTATCTGTATGGACAATCCACTGAAATGGACATAAAATATTGACCACGTACAATATATGCATCTCAAGTCAAATGGCTACCGCAACTCGAAATTAAAAGAAGGAGTGAAAGCAAACATATTTTAATTTTGAACTTCTACAAACCCAACAAAGACAACACCATTAATACTTCTGGTAAATTGTCTTTGACATAAGCGTCTTTTGCTTTGTCGGAGGCCCCAGTCCAAAGAATGACACATTGGTTCAACCATAGTTGTAGGAGCCTTATTACTCAGATCAAGTGTGTTTGCTTTTGAAACCAGGAGTGCAGGTGGTCCGGCACAGTTGTTGCTTCATTGCCGCTACTGTGTAAACACATCGACTACCTCAGCACCTGGAACCCAAGATCTGGAACTGTTTGTTTGTTTGTTGTTTAACGCCGCACTCAGCAATATTCCAGCTATATGACGGCGGTCTGTAAATAATCAAGTCCGGAAAAGTCAATCTAGACATGAGCATCGATCCACGTAATTGGAATCGTTGACATGCATCAACCAAGTCAGCGAGTCTCACCACCCGATCCCGTTAGTCGCCTCTTACGACAAGCATTGGTTGTTGAAGACCTATTTTACTACGGATCTTCACGGGCCAGATCTGGAATTGAATCTTAACAACTTTGTATTGATTTGATTAGCGAATCTCTTTACAGAATGTGACCCCGAACCTTGGATCTTTGATTCTGAAAACAGTAGCTCTAACCATTTGAATAGTAAATTCTGCTTAAAGCATCACCTTTCTCATGTTCTGATCTTGTGATCTACTTGAACTGGGTGAATGAGTGAGAGAGTTGGGTTTAATGCCGATTTTAACAGTATTCCAGTTATATCACGGCGTGTCAGCTTAATGTGGGAGGAAAGCCCGAAGTGATGCAGGACTCAGACGTTTACCACTTCGGTGAAATCCACGAGCACGAGTATGGTGCTGACAAAGCTACAAACATAATCGGGGCGAACCGGGATTCGCCACTTGAACTGCAGCATGATGGTATGTGTACTAGCTTAAACAGATGACTTGGCCAGTTTCTGTAAGCGCATTTTAAAACTACCACATGTTGTGGCATGACAAGGCTTGCCATCGGTGAACCATTTCTGAGTCGTATTGTGCAGTATGTTGCAATCAAAGTTTACTTAACAGCTTTCATCTCTCTCCATGTTGAGCTGCATTTAGCTTGATCCTCTTTCAAGCTGTATTGAAAAACGTGAAAGCCCACATCACTGGTATCTGAAATACTGAAATGAACGGAGCATGAAGATAAAGCAGAGTCAGACAGTTCAATAGGAAAACATTGTCACTCCAAAATATTAACTTGTATACACCAAGCTTCATTCTGTAAAACATGGAAGACAGACTAGGACCCTGCGATTCTATTCCTCACATCTTCCAATTTAATAGTAGGAACAGACAGGATACCCAAGTCTAGATCCAAGATAATGCCAAGCCATCCTAGCCTAGTTTTCAATAGGTACTGAATTAGCCTCTGAAACAACTCTCCATTCTCATCACAGAGCTATTATGTTTAGCACGAGATGGGCTATCAACAAATGATAAACTATTCTGGTGAATCAATCTTCCTCCAATACGAAATACACCTCTTGCACAGTTGCAGAAGGTCTTGACTCAATTTCAAATTGATGAAACATAAATATGTCTGAACATTCCTGAGATTAGAGACATCTGAATCGTCTGTGCGTCTGTTCAACAAACTGTGTTCCATTGGATATTCTACCATGACTTCGTGAAATAATCGAATTTGATTGGACAATCAATAAAATTAGACATAATTAATTTGGATGGAAAATGCGTCCGTTTCACTGCGCACTGATACAACACAGTCGCACTTCTTCCGTTCGACCACCAACATGGCTTATGTCAACACAACAGACGTGATTGATTTCGGATTTTTTTTAATCGGCAATTGTTCCGAAGTATATGGTCCGGACTTAACTCTGTCCTCTCCAACCTAAACAGTTCAGCTGAATTAAGCCCACAAACTTCAGCATAATGTAAAAAAAATACATAAATTGAATGCTTAAAAGTGTAGGCCTCTCTTATGAACACACGTCATCTCTTTTCCACATACATTTGTAAATATTTCATTACAAGGTAACAAAAGTACATAATCATTTTTCGCTTCATTTATTATCAGAAATCACAGAAAGTCCCAAACCAGAGAATGAACAACTTACATGTGCACCAACAATGCCGGCGAATGAAGACACAACAATAACAAGACTTCAGCTGCTAAAAAAAATAAACGTCTGGAATTATTGAAAAAGCGAAAACATCTAATTACTATGATTACCCGAGTTTTACAGTACAATAAGGCCTGGCATTAATTGGCTGAGTAAATAGCCTGGTCTAGATTATCTTGTGAAACAATATTACAAATTAATAAGGCTGACCTCGACTCTATTTTCTTGGATGGCCGACCCAAATCAGCCCTATGGACAACACACTGGGGAGTTAGGATTTTGCAACGTGAGGGAATTATTAGAAATAAAACATTAAATAAAACTTTAGATTCAAACACTCAATTACATGAAATTTTCTTCCACATTTATCCGATAATCTCCCTGTCATATTAGGCCCCTAGCTACTATTTTTGTAGAATAGTCAAACTTAATTACAATGTAGCCTATATGCCTAACCATAAACAAAGTTTAACTTTTAAAATTAAAAAAGACAGCCTTGTAAAAATAGATCTCTATTTATACCTAATTAACAGCAAAATGTCAACATGATATTTGCCTACCTGGTAAACGGTATGTTTGTTTGGCGTTTAGAATGGCTGACACACCATGAGATATCCAATAGGTTTGAAACACTTCCTAATAATGAATGGGCGTCACACCTTCGACACTTTTATGCGGAACTTCGCACTTCTGACGGACGATTCTATTTTTGTCGGCATCTGATCAGCGACCCAGAGGCACCTGAGTTCTCCTCCATGTGAGAGAAATATTACTATTTTGAAGGACATTGAGTTCCATAGCGCCAGTAATGTTTTCCTGGGACGAAAGGCATGGTTTTGCATGGTGTTAAGGCGTGCCTTTTTTAGGGTTAGGGAAAGTAACAGAAGGAGCATTGTGAAAATGTTGTGCAGACCTGCATGGGGCTGCATGACGCTTGTGAAGTGCCTTACTCTGCCTTCTCGAGGCGACGTTCTTCATCTGACCCAAAAGCAATGCCGTCTCCTTCAAATTCCGCGACTGCAGCCCAACCAGACAGGGATCTGTCGTCTAATCTGATATGCTGTTTCACTTGATGGCTCAATCAAAACTCTCTGAACATTCAGAATACATATGTTTGATATATGGGAAGGATGAATCTACTTTTTTCCGAAAGACCACAATTGAATTAATATTGCAATTGATGTCCTTTAAATCTATGGAACGGTATCTCAGAATCCTTGCGAGTTTCTTTTAAGGCAGAAAGCGATCTTTGTTCTGATTCAATAGTATCACGTTTAAATGTATTTAGTTTGCAATCCATATATTATTTTAGACGTCGAATGGCTCAACGGTCAACAATACACGTCACCTGTTTGACGTGACACTATTTTCACGTGCAATATACCCAGCTGCGGCTCGCAAACTCTTACGATATTAACCTGTGATAAATATATATATTCCCTATGTCGGCCAAACTTAGCACAAATGTGTAGTGTCATGGTTATGTCAGCAAACAGTGAAAGAAGACTGATACCTTCTCTCTTACAACATCATCCAATGTAACACACGAAAAACACAGCCTGAACTAAAGTGTCTAACTATTAAGTGAACACACTGGCATTCCTCAAGATGTGAAGAGCTTGCGATCGAGGCACGGCGGCGCATTACACAATATCATTCATAGTCACATAGCTCCATGACCCACAAAACTGCCACTGATGTGGTCGGGTCAAACGGGCGGTGTATTGCAACAGCAGCGTCTGTGAACTGATACCTGGAAAAACCTTCACCTGCATTGAACGATCGTTAGTCCTCGAATGTAAGTACACTGCAATGTTGATTACTTGTGAGATAGTGTTTAATTGACAGACAGTATTGTTGTTTGAGTAGTATAGTTTATAATATGTTATGCAATATTATGTATCGGCATTGGCCTGCCTGGCTGAAGTCCTCATATAGTTGGCTTGCATGACAGTGACCAATAGCTTCGGTCATCGAATAATATTATGTAGTGTTATTGACCTACCCAGTTGTAGCACACATCTAATATTACTCACTAGTCTGGCATTTATTCACAGCAATAGACACTGGATGGTACACAACTGGTGTTACTGACTAACCCGTCAGTGACACACATAAGTGCATGGTAAGTAGTACACCTATGGTGTTACTGACTAGACAAGAAGTGGTGCACAGTAGTGTACAGAAAGCAGTAGACGTCGGGTCTTTTTGACTGGCCGAGCAGTGATGCAAAGTAGTGTATAGTACGAAATAAACATCCTGTGTTATTGGCCAGCATAGTAAGTATGCACAGTAAGACGCAGTAAATAACACAGTATTAGTAATTGATTAGTATCATATAGTATTACCCACATGCCCATTGATAGTACACGTCTGATGCTATTGACTGGGAGTCACGTTGTAAGTTAGAGTGAGTAAAACTACGAATGCTGCCTCAGGCTATAAAACAATGTATACAACGACTAAATTTCAACATGTTAAACAATGCGCCCACTGACATAATGTTTGTTATACGCAGACATAAAAATCTTACCGTTATCAGTAAGGATTGTAAACTTACATAATAATAAGCTTGTTGTGTTTACTATTCCATGTGTGTATTACTTTGTAACAAAAATATATAAGAATTAATATCAGATCCTACTATTGTATTTCTCTTAATTTAATATGGAGGTCACGGGCTGTGCAGAGTTGCGTCTCATGGGGTCTCCAGAAACCAACGACTGGGGTTTATAATCCCGGTTTATGCCAATAATGTTTCTGGCTGTGTCAGCACCATACCCATGGGTTTCACCAAAGTTGTAAACGTCTGAGACCTGCACCATTTCAGGCTTTCCTACGTTTCCTCCATGACTGGCATGACATGATGACATACTGGAATACTGTTCAACGTAGAATGAAAACTCACTCACTTTAATATGTTAATGAATATGTCGACGCCAGCAGAGAAACCAATGACGGCAGGGGTCAATGTTGACCTGTTGATGCTTGATGGATTTGTGCAGGTTGCTATTCTAGTTGACAAGTTGAAGACAGTAAAGTTTCTCCCCATTCGTGACGAAGACATATTACTCTGCACATTCCCAAAGTCAGGTAATATTCTGTTGGCAATGGTCACGAATAATGCCATTGACATTTGCCCAATTTGTGTGCTCAACCACCAGAGGTACACAAGCGTTGTCTCCATAGAGGAAGTAAACATTGAGAATGCCAAATGGCATCTGAAAAATGCATGAGGGGTGGATTAAACGCTTTTCATCTCCCGAGTCAATATTTCAACTTCATATATGCGCTAGGGTGGTCTTGTTGTTCAAGTGTTCGCTCGTGACTTCGATGATTTTGATTCCCCTCGATTTGTGCAATTCCCATTTCTGGCGTCCCTTTGCAGAGACATTGCTGGACCATTGTTAAAGTGACGTAAGACCCTATTCATTTACGCATTCACTTACCAGTCAGTAAAGTATTTATATTCGGACAATTAATAACTTGCAAAATGCTTGAAAGAGGCGACTAACGGGATCGGGTGGTCAGACTCGCATACGTGGTTGATGCATGTCATCGATCCCAATTGCGCGGATCGATGTTCATGATGTCAATCACTGGATTGTCTGGTTCAGACACGATTATTTACAGGCCGCCGTCATATAGATGAAATATTGCTACCTGTGGCGTTTAACCACAAACAAACAAACATAATGTGGCAAAAATTCAGTTTCCTTAACACAATACAGTATGTGCTATTGTATAAATTTGTGTTTTCACTCAACATGCTTAATATGCTTTAACTCTCATATATATATAGACATAATTAAACCATTGTGGTGATTGGGGTCAAATGTTTAAATTAAGTGATATTTTTGTGCTGATGCAATAATGTTGCAGGTGCATTTGTCGTTACTGTGTGGGTATGCTGTCGCTATGAGGCGCAGGAGGATGTCGTTCCCATCAGCAACAAACTTGATACATGAACCTCTGACTGCTACATCTGCATCACAATGGCACTCACCTTGGATCCATGAGGTCTTCCCCAGCAAATACAGTGTTTATGCCCAATACAATGAATTTGTTTACAACAGTGGACTAGTAGGTGATGAACCAGAGCTCAAATTTGATATGACAAAAATGCCCTGAAATCATTTAAACTATTGACTATATGACTGTAGTGCTGTGGCTCCAAATGAAGTTTCCAGGAAACAAACGTGGAAACAGATGTTTATGTCCCAAAGGAATAACCTTATAATCTCACAATCATGGAATTGGTACATGATATATTTTTTGGTGTTGTTCCCTTTAACAATCACCTGAAACGGATTCAGACTAAAATGATTTTGCAGTTGAAACTCATATCTTCAATAAGTTGAGATTTATGAAATATGCAATTAATGTTTTATGCGAACACTTGAAATAAAGTGTGGAAAACTTACTTAGATATTCATCTATTGCTTCTTATATATGCATCCCTCCGGATTAAATGACACAAATACATTCTTAAATGGTGTGATGTTTTTGTAATGTTTAGTTTTGTGAACTAATAAATGACATTTTATTCATTTCAGAATCTATCTATACCTTGTAAACAAGAGGTTCACTTTTGGGATTTGCAGAAATACTTGAAGAATCAGAGGACAATTGTTCCCTAACGTGTTGTCTAGGTGATTGGTGAACGGTCTCAATCTTATGTACGCACTGTTCGTCCCCACGCTAACTGACCCGTGAAGATTCCGGGGTAGAATAGGTCTTCAGCAACCCATGCTTGCCGTAAAAGGTGTCTATGCTTGTCGTAAAAGGCGACTAACGGGATCGGGTGGTCAGGCTCGCTGACTTGGTTGATGCATGTCATTGATCCCAATTGCGTGGATCGATGCTCATGATATTAATCACTGGATTGTCTGGTCCAGACTCGATTATTTACAGACCGCAGTCATATAGCTGGAATATTGCTGAGTGCGGCGTCAAACAACAAACCAACCAGCCAACCAACCCTACGCTAACTTAAATACACCTTTTTACGTTGAAATCTTGTTTCATGGTCTCGGGCATCAATCGGCCTTTGATGTTCCTTTTTATGAGTTTCTGCAATACAAGATGGCTGGATGAGGGAGTTGTTAGCAGGGCGAAACCCTGGTAAAAATGAAACACATAGCACAAGCACTGACTAAATTGTTCAGTGGCAACTTTGGTTGACAATTTTAGAAGTACATTTCTCTTGGTACCTGAAGTACTGTACCTCACACGACACACGCATATGTTATTAATTATAGCTCTGCATGAAAATAAACATAATTTGCACACAATGACAAAGGATCTCAACACCAGTAATTTCCTAATTTTAAATAACTGACGAAGGTTGTTATTGTTAACAATATAAAAGTCTCCTGTGAGTATATACATTCGTAAGTGAATCGGTGTGATATGTCGAATGGAGGGAAATATTTTGTTTTCTAGATCTAATACAAAGATTCAAGTTTTCATCTGCGTTTTTGCGAATTGATACAAGCAACACAATATATAATGATATTAAGCTGGAAATGTCATTTCCATTTTTTACAGGTTCTATATGTAAAGCTTTCTGTTTTATAAATGGCGATACCATCATCACGTAATTAGAAAAAAAATCTTGATATACATTATATTGATACATCATATTGAAATGCAGATGTTGACATGTATGTACAATATTTGTTCTTATGACTTGTGATAGAATCACAGCGAACATATTATTTCTCATTGTGAAGTATAAAGTTTTACTCAATATGAATCATAAACTTTTTAATACACACAACTAATATAAAATCGAAAGTATCATAAATACGTTATGTACTCCCTTTCAATGTTCAAATTACAAATGAATTTTGTTTGGGATTAGAAACACAAGTGCAACTGAACACAAAATATTACTCCTTGTGTCCATACTCTCCATGCACATTTGGTATCTCCATAAGTCGAAATAGAATTTAAGTGGATCCAAGTGTTCTTCTGGAACTGAATATGGAATCATCGAGAAATTTATGTTTGCTGCAATACTTCTAACAAGAAGACATGAATGTAATTTGTTTTATTTCATTATTATTAGTTTTCTAATTTTAGATCAAGTTACCTCCGTAGAGTCGCGAAAGCATCCATGAAAGGCATCAAGGTCATAAATATAGATAATACGATAATCAAATATTTATTTTAATGTACAATAAAGTGCTATTGTTTCAGTATTGGGCCATAACCTACTTACAGTATCAAAACATGATATAAATCTCATAAAGACGTGTATCCAGTCTGAAAGCTCCAAAGAGAAACTAGTTGAACGAAAAAAATGAGTCAACGATAAATTGATACAGACTGTGAAAAGGCGGAACTGGGTCATTGCTGATCAAAGCACCAATGCAAAGAATTGTTTTCTCACGAAATCTGCAATAGATGATTGTCAAAATACAAACTGGTTAAACCAATTAAAAAAGTGTCCCTATCGATTGTGAGTCATTGGCAGTGTAAGATCATGACATAAAATAACATGCCTTAGTTTTGTCAAATTAAGCGACATATCTGCGTTTTAAGACATAATGTTGACAAATCTTATTGTCAACAATAATATATTTTCATTTTCATCGTCACATGCAAAACATCAGAGAAATGCCCGTTATCATCGAAGGACATGATAAGGAGCATATATCACGATACTAACATATGATAAAAGCACCTTTAAATTGTTTCTGAATCAGCGTCGTTTGTAAAATACAAATCACCTTTCCTTACAATAAAATGTTCAATGTAAAATATCAATGCAAATGGCTGACCATCGTTGTTACATGAAATGTACCAAAGGTGTACCTGTGTGACGCCATCAGGCCTACAAGTGTCCTAAGGTGTATAATGCACTGAAATACACAAATTGTAGACACATTCAAGAGTCCAAATGACTCTCATTAGGACGGGGATGCCTGTGCGGTCTTGCGCTTTTCACTGTATTTGATCTAAACACATCCCACAGACGCTCGAAAGAAAACTTCGTTTAGAAGTCAATTCAAATTCATCTCGATCAGGAAAAGACAGTAACTATTAAATACATCGTCTTTCTCAATGCTGAAGTTCCTTTTTTTGAATGAACATGGTGTAGTCATTGAAAAAAAGAAATGTGTTATTCGTCGGTGCTAAACGGAATCAAAATGAACATGGACAAAAAATCCAGTGAAACTATTCGATGTTGTTTTGAATGGTACAGAGCATCAACAATCCAGTTATTTTGCCACTCACCAGTAAGACCTGTAAAAGATACAACTACGAAACAGACCAGGCACAGCCACGAAGTATTCTTCCACACAATCTTGTAGTGATGAAACACTTGACTTCTATGCGGCACTTGTCTCGTGTGGACCGAGTTGTCATGTCTACTGTTGATTGTGACTTCCAAAGCTACATCCTCTGCTAACATAATGGAACTTTAATGGCACTTTCCCTGCATTTCAGTTCGTATTTTTGATCAAATTCTTCACTTTGTGCCACTGTGAACCAGTTCTTCCAGTCACCAGCTTGACCTGTAATATGTAAATGCAAAATGTCCGGTCCTTGTTCTACGCATGAATTTAATATGTATAGAATTTATGATGTATTGATCGCATGTTTGTAGATTTGTTATTTTGAGAACAACACTTTGATCGTATTTGTAGGTCAATCAAACTGATAGCATACATGTAAGTATCGCCAGAAGAATGTATGCAGTGTCTAAAGCGTTATGTGTATATTATTTCATACTGGCCTTTCATTAGTTTTTTATTATTAAAAAAAAACCATGGCACTCTTGCAAACTAAAGGTTGTAGACATACAATCTTTATATGTTTTGCCGTTTTCTTCTGGGGACACGTGTGGTTTCGCTTTGCCATACCAGAAACATATGATCTTGGGTTAGAATTCCCGTTTCTCACCAAAATTGTTTGGATATGTCAGCACCATATCCATGTGCGTGGGCTTCACCAAAGTGGTAAACGTTGAACTTTCGGCATTCTTCCAACACCGAGCTTTCACACGGTAAGAAACATTGTTCAAAAGCAGAACTAAACAAAACATACTCACCCGGTTACTACTAATGCTGACCATCACATTTGGAACTACACAATACTTGCGAATTGATATGTTTCCTCTTGTAGTGGTCAGTTAGTCCAGTAGCTAACGTATTGGCTCGTCTTGTTGCAACCCATGCTATACCCCGCCGTAATAATGGAATAATGCCAACCATGGCTTAAAAACAGAATCTGTACGCGCTCAGTCATGTTGTAGTTGCTTTCAATACCAATTACCTTTTCTGAAATAGCCACTTGATCCCTCTTGCCAGGCGACGTGAAAGGTCTGGTCTTTGATCTTCTCACTGGCGTGTTTGAGATTCTTAAAGGAACACGCTTCAGCTATCTCCTGGTACTTTTCTTCAGGAAGGTGACGATCGAGATATTCAGCCATTCTCTTTATTTCCGTCGCACAGTCCTAACAAAGGAACAACGAGAATTTGATACGGATTTTTTGCTTGTTGTTTAACACCGCACTCAGCAATACTCAATCTCTATGACGGCAGACAATCCAGTGACTCAAGGCGCATTGATCTACGTGACATGCATCAACCAAGTCGCCTCTCACGACAAGCAAAGTCACCTTTTACGGCAAGCATGGGCTGCTGAAGATCACTTCTAACGTCTAACCCGGGTCTTCACGGGTACGTATTTGTTAAGTGTACAAATACATATACTTGAAAATCAACATATTATGAACTTCAGTCGCCGGTTTCTCACACACACACACCTCCTCTCATTTGCCACACATAGAAGTTGTTCATTTTGTTGGTCCAATATTTACTGTAATGGAATAATGGTCATTTTGTCCATTTATTTGAAACTACACTTCTGCAGTGACTAGGTGGCTTGCACTTGTAAATAAAAGTGACAAAACGCTTTCCATATTCATAAGAAATCTCCACCAAAAGCATACTCGCTAGATCATGAGCATGTGTCTATGAATCACCATTAAAAGTGTGTTCGCGAAAAAGTGAGTGCCCTACTGGTGGCACCCGGCACAACACATGCAAGGGCAAGTCACTTGGTCACTTGACAAAACACGGGAACATATATATTGTAAGACAAATCACCTGTTTCATGTCTTCATACTTCACACTGCATACTTCAAATCCATCGTACACATCCGAAACGTTTTTCCACTCATTAACGTGATCAAATATCGACCCAAGAGGTGCTTAAAAATAATAACGATAGATTAGCATCAGTAGGATTTTGTTGAATTAGGCTTGACATCAAACCTAGTTTTGAATCTCTTGACAATTTGTCATTAATCTCATCCTGTGGGTGTTAAATCTGAGCCACACTTGAAGGAACCCGTTATTGCTCAAGGGGAAAAGTATTTCAGATATAAATATATCTGCCATTACTTTAAAGATTTGAATGCTTTAATCTATTGATGAATAAAGTTAGTCTTGTTCTCGTTGAGGTTCATTCCATGTTTCAAAACGCCCGATGAGAATTATCATACAATACAATCCTTGAATTGTCAGTGTTATTCAACAATCAAAATATCAAGAGTCCACGATTGCCATCCCGGAGTGTGAATAAGTGTTTGAAAACCACATCTGCTGAAGATATACGAACCACACCCGTCCTGATACACACTGAGAAAGTCGTCCCAGGAGCCAGTGAATGTGCTTTGCTGAGGTGAACCGCCTTCCCACACCTGTTGGCTGACCTGACAGAAGGACGATACAGCGCAGTCTTTAGCGTTCCTCTCGACATACACCACCTTGCACTCAAGTTGCCATAACAGCTCGGGCATTTGTCTGCAATTATGAACGTCACAGCCAGTAGGCACTATAATAGCAATGTATACTCTTCAAAATTCAAAAAAACTTCACACTGACTTTCAAAATGTAATATAATGCGATTGTTTCAAAATAGGACACAGAAACCATAATTGGAACAATGATATCCACAAACTAGGTTTAAACCTCTTGACAATTTATGTTTGTCAACGAACTACTATATCGGACATGAGTCAGCCAAGTCGCTGAACATGTGGTGTAATGTAATACTGTCAAGAAATTGGGTGCGTGAGGCCTATTCTAATCTGAATACCCACATTGTCTTGGCGATCGAATACATAATCAAGGACATATTAACTGATGGGTAATATATACTAATCAAAAGAAGTTAAGGAACACCCGATTCTTTCATATTACTATAGTTAATCTGTAATGCGATGGCAGATTAACTTCTACAATTTGAAAGAACTGGGTGTTCCTTAACATCTTTGGAGTAGTATATATAGTATGTGCATTTATATACTGAACCAAAGTTAGAGATCATGACTATTTTTGGGATATGTTTATGAAAGTGTGTGCTCAGTCTTCACTATTAAAATAGTCCCCAGATCTAGAGTATGCATGAACCCTGACTAGAAGGTATTCAGTATAGGAGGAACGCGTGAAGGATGAGGTACAGGGGTTAGTTTTAGACAAATACTACCTGGGAAGTAAATGGGTGTGAAGGATCCTTGGTGATGTCACTTCCTCCAGTTCTTCCTCGGTCCTGTATTCCAGCCATGCAGAGTTCTGCCAGTGTTTGGCGTACTCAGCCTTACCTGCCACGATCATGTTGAGGATCTCCCACGCCCAGTGCGTTCCTAATGCATAGCATGTTATCAAAGGGAAATATTCACTCGTCAGACTCTAATCCTGTTTCTTAATCTGACAATATCGAACAATGTGTTCATCTTTGATAACATTTATTTTGATGCAATAAAAGTCCATTGTGCACCTAGTACATTGCATATTAGACACGTTGAAGTAGGGGGAAATAGGTGTTCACGTCGCACTCAAAATCGTCGCACCTTTATGAACCTGTGTATGTTGCTGCTTGTAATTGTCATGACTATAGTGCTGGCCTATTGAAATTGCTGCAGTTTTATACATGGATCACTCACTCAGACACCAGTCCTAGTTTTATACATGGATCACTCACTCAGACACCAGTCCTAGTTTTATACATGGATCACTCACTCACACACCAGTCCTAGTTTTATACATGGATCACTCACTCAGACACCAGTCCTAGTTTTATACATGGATCACTCACTCAGACACCAGTCCTGTAATGTAATACTGTCTAGAAATGGGGTGCGTGGGTCCTACTCTAATCTGAATACACACATTGTCTTGGCAATCGAATACATAACCAAGGACATATTAACTGATGGGTAATATATACTACTCAGACACCAGTCCTAGTTTTATACATGGATCACTCACTCAGACACCAGTCCTAGTTTTATACATGGATCACTCACTCAGACACCAGTCCTAGTTTTATCACCCGGCCGCCAGGCAGGGTAAAAACATGTACCACATTTTAACGTATTTTGGTATGACGCGGCCAGGGAGTCGAACCACCGACCCTCCGCTCTCCGGGCCGGCGCACCGTCTACTAGACCACTCCATATGATAAAAATAAAAACGTTTACTCAAAATTCTCGTCATATTTCTTTTTCAATATTATGCAATGTTTTCATTCATGAATTAAATTCATTCGGGTGCAGCGAAGTAATGTGTATCACTGGTGGTACCCCAGGTCTTTAGTGATCTCACCTGACTTTGGATATGTGGCCAGAAAGATGTCATCTTCCCTTAGAGGACGAGATTTCATCGTCTCAAACTTGTCTGCAAAATCTTCTGCCTCAACGACACCGTCTACCATAACAAGTTGAATATTCCATCCGGCAGCCATACCTCTTTCTGCTAGGGTCGACATATTGACGATTATCTGTATATCAAAGAACTGACCGTCACAATTGATGATTGGCTAAGACGATACATCACGACGCTTGTGAGCTTGTTTTAATGCCCTTGAACGGTATTGCAGTTAGATCACTGCATGCCTGATCAGACCCGTGAAGATCCGGGGTAGAATAGGTCTTCAGCAACCCATGCTTGCCGTAAAAGGTGACTATGCTTGTCGAAAAAGGCGACTGACGAGATCGGGTGGTCAGGCTCGCCGACTTGTTTGATGCATGTCATCGATCCCAATTGCGTGGATCGATGCTCATGATATTAATCACTGGAATATCTGGTCCAGACTCGTTTATTTAAAGACCGCCGTCATATAGCTGGAATATTGATGAGTGCGGCGTTAAACAACAAACCAAACCAAAATCAGTTATCCAAGGGGCATAAACTGCATATGGTTGCATTGAGTAATCCAGGGAATGTTGATAAAAGTAGATTTTATCTGCCGGGCAAAAGATCCCAAACACAATTGATACCCGTATCAAATACTTCTCCATCGAATAACCATTTCTTGTTTGTTTCATATTTACCTTGCATCAAACATGGGTGTATTCTTTCTTTTGGCAGACAATTTAGTAAATGTTGGTAAAGGCATCAGTGGGTCAGAAATAGTGAAATTTGCTAAAAGGGGCACAAATCAGAAATAGCGAATGTTGCTAAAAGTAGAATAAATCAGAAAAAGTGAATGTTGCTAAAAGTGGCAATAAATCAGAAATAGCAAATGTTGTTAACGTAGCATAAATCAGAAATAGTGAATGTTGCTAAAAGTAGCATAAATCAGAAATAGTGAATGTTGCTAAAAGTAGCATAAATCAGAAATAGCGAATGTTGCTAAGCGCAGCATAAATCAGAAAAAGTGAATGTTGCTAAAAGTAGCAGTTTAGTCAGAAATAGTAAATGTTGGTAAAAGAAACAGTATTGTCAGAAAAAAGTGACTGTTGGTAAAAGTAGCAGTAAATCAGAAATAGTCCAACTAAAGCATGGCGGGCTGCACATAATTGTCCCTTTGCCAAGTAAACAACATTATGATTTTATGAGTACGATATATCATATATGATTGTATCGACTTTAATGTAATGATTTCTAATTCAGAAATACAGTCCCAAATACTTAAAGAAAGTTCAAAGTTATGTGGACCTTAGATTGCCCATGGAGGGTGTTAGTATCGTTATGACAGTTCAAGGGTCATAATAGGACGAACCCACTACCAGCGGATCCTGGTACGATAACGGAGCCAAAATATTATTGAACAGGACAGTAGTGCATGACAGTAGTGCACCCCCACACCCATCCCCACATCCATCCCCACACCCATCTCACTCCTCACCCTACTATGTTGAGGGACGAACACATCACTTGTGTTTGGTTTTGCTTGTTTGCCGCGGAGTCTCCACACTTGGAGGCGACATACGTAAGTCGTAAACATTCGTTTGTAACAGCGGAAGTACCTTTTTTAAGCAAATTGTGTGAATGGCGGGTGCAAACGGTGACACTGGATATTCGTACCCCTTTAGCGAACACATGTCATCATCACCGATTTTCAGTGATCCATTTCTTATATGGTCCATTGAGGTTTCAGTATCACTCTGACTTTAAGGTCCAGTTGAATCTGTTTCGGCAAACATTCCAGATTCATTTTTCTCTGGCGTTAGCGCTTTACGTTAATAATCGTCGTTTTCCCTGTGTTACCAGTATGCCTGGTAAATCAGTGTACATTCAATAAAATTGGTAATGAAAACATCAAAATAAGCAATGTGAATTGATGAACCAACCTTTCTCCTCTTGTGATCCCCGACAATGATATATACGCTTTCTTCATCGCATTTCTTGGAAAGGACACCAGCTGTCATAAATGTATAGGCACACTGCAACGTGACTTCACATGTCAATCCTTAAATTAAATTAGTCTCGGTTGCCGGAGTGCTAGGTGTACACCACTGACTTGTAATATAAAGAGTGGATGGCAAAGCGCCCTGATGGAATTAACGAGAGTAGTAGTAGTAGTAGTAGTAGTAAGTGTGGTAGTCGAAAAAGAAGAAATAACTCAGTGTTCAAATTGTGTCTGTCCATTAAGACTCTGGAACCTACCAAATCCAAGACCATGAATTAGTGCAGACAGTTAAAAAATCAGCTGGTAAATATATACTCTGCTCTACTATTTGTAGAGGCCATAAACTGTCCGAGTCCCTTGACGGGATTCGAACCACGGACCTTCTGATCCCAGGTCTGACGCCTCGTCCCCCTTGACCAAAGAGGTTAACCGCGTCAGCAAGCTGACAAGGTACGTATGTGTTGTATGACTCCACGCCCTGCTACTTATTCAACAGACACTCGTCCTCCAATTGTCGCATTTTGCATGTTTTTGCAGCATCATCCGGATCCCCTAGTCTCTTCTAGAAAAATGCAATACCTTGCGGATATAGTGTTTAAAAACTGTTGTATTGCACCTACATCTTTACAGTTTCTAGATATCACTTTTATTGATATATTTGACTTGATTTGTGGTCCTTAATCCTATGGTTATTGACACAAACATTCCGAGACTACAATATCTCTCCATCTAAAAGTCATTCTAAATTTTGCTGTTGTATTTGTGTTAGTAGGTCACTGTAGGTTAGTTGGTCATTTGTAGCCTGCAGAGATTCTTCTTAATCCCCAAGATTTCTCTGGTAAGTAACGTGTGTGAAGGAGTGTTGCGCATGCCTTATCCTGAACTACTGAGGTTGACTTCAACAGAATCCTGTAAAATGATGTGGATTGGCTGTGGAAACATGATCATACGAAACCATATTTTCGTTAATACTAATAATTAATTGCAATTCTTTACATCATGTCCAACACCAGCGCCAACGTTACATTATTCTTCTTTATTTCGTATATTTGATCAAATTCTTCACTTTGCTTCTTGAGGAAGGGAACGATCGAGATATTCAGCCATTCTTCTTATATCTGCCACACAATCCTTAAAAGGAACACATATAAAATATATTATAAAATTATGAAGCTTAATATCAATAACCTCAAACATATTTGTACCTTTTATTGTTTACAGCATCTCTCGAGCTTTCCTGACAGGTGCTTGTTGAAGACCTGAACATGTACACTCATTTTATGAACACGTGGTTGCCCAACTGGCCAACTGTTTTAGTGGCTGGGATGCCGATATTTTGGGGCAGTATGGAACAATATGGTCTCAGCGTTATACTGCTTCAATACAGTCACATATCACGTCTTGGGAACAACATTATACTCCTTCTATGCAACATAGCCGCCTGTTAAATTACGCAGGCAAAATTGTTCTGTTTTATGCTATGCAGCCACATGTTACATAAAAGACACAACATTGTACTGTTTTCAATGCAATACAGTCACATGTTACATTATAGACACAACATTGGATTGCTTCTATGCAATACAGCAACAGGTTACATTATAGACACAACATTGTAATACTTCTATGCGATACGGTCACATGTTATAGTATAGATGCAACATTCTGCTACTTCTATGCATAACGGCCACATGTAATAATATACACAACATTGAACTGCTTCTATGCAATACGGTCACAGGTCATAATATACACAACATTGAACTGCTTCTATGCAATACGGTCACAGGTCATAATATACACAACATTGAACTGCTTCTATGCAATACGGTCACAGGTCATAATATACACAACATTGAACTGCTTCTATGCAATACGGCCACAGGTCATAATATACACAACATTGAACTGCTTCTATGCAATACGGTCACAGGTCATAATATACACAACATTGAACATCTTCTATGCAATACGGTCACATGTTATAGCATAGATGCAACACTGTGCTGCTTCTATGCAATACGGTCACATGTTAAAGTATAGACACAACATTGTACTGCTTCTATGCAATACGGTCACATGGAAACTATTGGACGCAAGATGGTACTGCTACAATAGTGTAACGGCGTACCATTATGGACTGCCGAGGACAAATAAATACAGATGAGTAAGTATTCAATCTTGAACTCAGGCGTTTTAGCATATATTTGGATAAGTCAGAGAGTTTGATTGCATGCCCGTTGAATCATAATGCTCGCTACGACCAATCCTAGTTATCGAGCTATCGTAGTATATATGTCGACTCGGTCCGTGACAGTCAACAGCAAACTATGAATTTACCTTGGTATCTAGTCGACACATCCTTACAATAATCTTTCAATTATTGGCCAATTTGACCAATGATAACTGACACTTATAATAGCCAGAGGTTTATTAACAACTTCGGATTTATAAAACTTCAGGTTTATTGTGTCGGCCATTTTGACTTCTTGTACTTGATGTAAATGTATTACGATAGTATTACTGTGACTGATTTACTGAGGTAGTTTTAAAACAGACCTTTCTCATCTAATAATGATATTATTTGACATATATGCAATACGGTTTCCAGGTTTCACCCATAAAAGGTCTCTTTAATTCTTGAGTTTTTTAAAGAAACTGCGTTAATTGATAACTTTGGATAATATGTATTGTAAAATGTAAGTGGTTTTAGTTTAGTAGAATAAATTCATAACTGAGATTGTTAGTGGCTGTACCTCGAAGGGGGTTGAAGTAATGTAAAATAATAGTCCCCTGACAGGGTACGTCCCATTTCATTCAGAGTATTTTTTTTATTTTCCATGGTTTTAATCCTTGAATACTTGTTGGCTTTAAATGTTTGGAATAAACTTACTTATAATCACATGAAATTTTGCTATAAATCTTAAATCACTCACTCTCAATACGAGTCGATGAAAGTTTGAAATGTCGAGACTTACTGAATAAGTAAAAATAAAATCATTCGTCTTTAGTTTGTAAATAGAAACATATAGTGTCTTGGATTTACAAAGAACGGCTAACCATCTTCACCAGCAGAGAAGTTAGTGATGTCACGTGACCGATGAAATCACATTGGTCTACAAGGGTCTGTGATGCAATTTCATTGAGTGATATCTCCTAGGATATCTCCTGTGGACGCCAGTTTGGGATAATAAATATCATTATTGAATCGATTCAAAAACATTGCTGGACAACTAGACACGACTGATTAAATATGCCCACAAAGCCTTTCCTGGGACATAATGTGTTTAAGGACCTCAATCCTCATGCCCGTGACAAGGCTACTATTCCGAAAATGGATCACTGTACGCAGTGAAGTTGTGATGCTGCAGCATTTGTCTTCTGATTTCGTCTTGTGCATTGGTTACCCGATAGCCTTCTATCACCATGTTAGTGGAAACGTATACCTGTGAAGGTACTGCCTTAACTTACCTATTAATAATTATATAGAAATTCAAACCTGATCTATATTTGCTTTGGTACTCCGAGTACATGATCAACTTACGAAGAGGATCACACGTAATTGCCTCAAATCGTTAATCTGGCGCACTGTGGCATCGCTGAAATCACCCAAGCACTGGAATATTGCTAAAAGCAGCGTGAAACAAAAATGAAAAAAAATTCCACTATGGAATAGAAAGTGATACACCTCCTTAACTGGAGCGTGGCATAACATTGAAGTGTGCACATTCCACGTGAAACAAGTTATCTAGGATCTAAGCTTTATATTCCACAATTGTGAAACCTTCCCTGAAGAGGCGTGTCGATGATGGTACACGCGGACTATATACTTTCATAGTTATCTGCTCTATCAGATATATAATTTCATTCCATGTCATGACACGCTCTTACTCATACACAGTCAGCGTTAGATGTCCCTCGACATTAGCCAGTGGTGCTCAGAGACCTCGGGTAGGTTCTATTTTCATCTACTAAAAATATTGTGTTTCATATACACATAGTTATTTTCTAAAATACATACGTTATGGATGAATGGAGCCGGTGTCGTCATTGTGTGAAAAGTCTTCAGAAATATATAATACTGTTATGTTTGTTCTATGAAAATGTTGACAACGTGAATCATTTACCTGTTTGAGGCTATAATACGGGTGCCTTTTTGACGATTGGGTAAATGTTTAGTTTCCAGACATATATATATATCGGTCACATTAAATTTCGTTCAAATAAACACATTGAACTTTAAAGGACAAGTAAATTGAGACAAAAAATATTCCGATATTGTTGGAAAATCAATTTTCCATGATACATTTCGCCAATTTCCGAGAGAGAGAAATGTATATTATTTGTTCAAAGTATTTTAATGTCCACGTGAATGTAATGAAATTAAACGCTTAGTAATCGGGTATTTCGTTTAGGGGACGATTTCACCTGTCGTTGTTTTGTCTGTTTTACGATATTTCCGGATATTGTTTGTCAAGCATTTGTAATTAAGAATGCTCTGAAGTCTTAAGATCTGCAAAATTGATATTTTGACCACGTTTGTCTTTCTTCCTCGGTGATGCGCCTTACATCAGGAGTTGTGCCAAGTGTCCATAACCGGAAGTCGGGCAGTGTCAAGGAGAGACACAGTGGTAGTGTATTGTGCTCAATGACTTCTGAACAGCTTTTGCCGTTATGTGACCAAACGTTATATTTTTGTTACATTTCACATCAATCACAGGTTACTATATGGAAGGATTTCATGACAGACCATTTACGTCGAATATGGATACCTTTGTGGAAAGCTAACGCATGAGAAGAATTAACGTGCTGCATAAGGACATAAGAGCTGTTGTGCTAATGTCCTTCACTGATGAAAGAATACAAGTAGACCATGTGTTCACCGGTATACAGCACAACATATGCTGTCACCAGTACAACATTGTGTTTATCGTGCAACAATGTTTTCATTATGCAAACTACATGTAAACTGTTTGTTCAACGTGCAATCTAAAAGTAACACAACGTGTTTACTGTAGAACCTACTGGAAAACAACTTGTTTATCATACAGCCTTTCAGTACAGGGTTCAGTTACTGTGCGTCCTAAAAAGGAAAACAAAGTGATCATTGTAAAATCTCCAGTGTATACAATCTCACGACTGGATTTTAGATACGAGGCTCATCTTGCACGATGAGGTCCCGGAAATATCTACCACTGGTTGTGCCCGTCACCATGTGCACTATATACTTAACTGTATTTTTCACAAGCTTTACAATACTACCTACCATCAAGGAATCTGCACAAGACGTCACAGAGAAGACCTTGAGAAGACCTGGAGAAGAACGTTTTCTTCTAGGACACACTGCAGCATATGTGGGGAACTTCTTTTTTGTTAAACAAAGCACAACGCCTGTTCCATATGATAGAATCAGCATTGTTGCCGTCGAACAATCAGGAACAAATAATGAAAAGCCTGTGATGCTATCAAAGCCTCCAGAACCTGCTGCGGATGTTGCGAATGTCTCAAGTGCCCATGAAGATAGACCACACTTAGGGCCCAATAATGAAAAGGTAGTGACACAATCTAAGCCCCCTGTACCTGCTGAAGAAAGGCCAGATGCAGAACCCAGTAATACAAAGGCTGTGACACGACCTAATCCTCAAGAATCTAGGGCGAATGCTCAATTCTCTAATATACGTGATGATAAGAAAATGCAGGTACCACTGACTCTTGATAGGCTTCTGCTGTTCCCTCCTGAACCAAAACCAGCTGCAACGCCACCCACTGTGGTGAACAACATACCCGTCAAGAATGGAAATCGGAATATTTTACAATTGCCTCTTGCTAGTTCACAAACGAATAGAGAGGTGGACCAAGATGTGTTATCAAGTACAGATAAACGTCGCGACATGACCAAATTGGATCGCGTTGCAGCAGAAACAAATGCACCAAGAGTTAGCCACCAGTTAGCACAAAAGACAAATAAACTTGTCAGTCATAACAAACACTTTACAAATCTGGGTCAAGAAAATAAAGTATATGATAAAGTAGATCACAGGAAAGATGATGTGAAAGGGTTTACAACAGGTGGCCCCTCTATAGACACCGTAAAACAGTCACCGAGACAGTTTCATGACAACAAAGCCACAGGGGGGAGTTACAAGACACGTCAAATGCAAATGACTCGTTCTGTGTTTGACAAATCAGCCAAACGTGTTTTCAGGAAGGCATATACTAGCCCTAACTTTACTCGTCCTCGTATGTCCTCCATACAGAGATATTCGGACATGAAGCAACGTTTGCTCAAGCAACCCACAAGGGTCTCAAACAACAGCACAGTCAATACTACAGCAATGTTAGCACATTCAGTTCTGGAACCAGTGACAGGTGAAAGACGTATAGTCAAGTTATCTGACTTTATAACGAGAAAGACGAATCGAAACGAATCTACGACCCTCAAAAATATTACCGTGAGTCGTTCCATAACTCCAACAACACTAAACAGTCCAACTGTGAAACAAAGTGAACAATCCAGAATCATCCCATTCCTTAGGCCACCCGAAATTCCAACAGCCACAATCAATTCCACTGTACACGAAAGGGCATTTGAGAAATACAACAACGTCCCATTTCTGAGGCCACCTGAAATTCCAACAACGCCAGTCAGTCCATCTGGGCAAAAAAGGGGATCTGAAGAATTCAACACCCCATACTTCAGTCCACCCAAAATTCCAATAACACTAAACAGGCCTACTGTGCAACAAAAGACATTTGAAAAATTAAATAAAACCCCATTTATCGAGCCACTCGAAATATCAACAACCCCAAACAGTCCATCTGTGAAACAGACAGCATTTCTCGACCCACCCGAAATTCTAGGAAAGCGAGAAAGTCCTACTGTGCAACAAAGGGCATTTGAAAAATCCAATAAGATCTCATTCCGGAAGCCGTCCCAACTCCCTACAGCAAAACACAGTCAAACTGTGAAACCAAAACCATTTGAAAAATCCAGCATCATCCCATTCTTGAGGCCACCCGAAATTCCAACCACGCCACTCGGTTCAACTGAACAACAAAGGGCATTTGAAAAATTAAACATTCCATTCATTAGGCCACCCGAAATCCCAACAACACCAGTCAGTCCAACTGTGCAACAAAGAGTACTTGAAAACCCCAACAAAATCCCATTCCTCAGCCCACCCGAAATTCCAACAACACCAGTCAGCCGAACTGTACAGCAAAGGGTACTTGAAAACCCCAATTACATCCCATTCCTCAGCTCACTCGAAATCCCAACAACACCAATTAGTCCCACTGTGCAACAAAAGGCTTTAGAAGAATTCAATTACATCCCAAACACCAGGCGGCCTGAAACGCCACCAACTCCAAACAGCCAAACAGAGAAACAGGTTATCTACAATGTACACAACGACATCCAAAACACCAAACAACCTGGACCTGCAACATCAGCCCCAACAACCTTTATCTATGATAGAATCCGACATCTTTCTAGAGAATCTAAAAGCCCATCCATCTCAAGGCAGCCAGACCTTCAAAAAGCAACAACAACTGCAGGCATGGACTCTGATGTTGACACCAATACATTGATGCCATATGTAGATAAGCTAGTTCCGTCCTCCACGCCAAGCTACGGCAAGGAACAGACACAACAGGCGCTACTGTACCTGGACATGGAAGTTGACTACAAAAGGGAATCAACAATATTACGGAACGGTATTTTCAGGCTAAGAAGCGGTACACCTCATGAACCATATTCTACACGAGAGTTAATTCAGTCGAAGGAAACGTCCATCTCAGCACAGCATACAATAGATGGTGGAACCACAAGTCCCGAAACACGTTTGGAAAAGGGCATTCATAATACCAACATGGAGGAAATGGCACCAAAGATCTTGTCTCTCCCTGCCGTCACTGAAAGCAGATCAACAGCAGATCCCATCGGCAATGTAACCACAGCTGACGCAGAGGTCAGTCTTTACCGCCAATTACCTAACGGAACAACCTCTGACCACGCTGTGAAGGATAATGAAGGGGAAGACGTGGAGCTGGACATTCGTGTGGACGAGGCTCGAATAATAAATGTTACGGGAAGTCCTTCAGGGGGTAGTCACGTGAGTACTTCTCAGGGAAAGACTCAGTCTCTGCAGATTGAAGCTTTTGAGAGACAAACCGTGTTCGTCGAACCTCATTTGCCGCAGTCAACATCGCAGGACACGCCCAGTGGACCAGGTAATGTGTGACAATGTAAATGGCGAATATTGTTCTTACTCTGGCACATCACAAAACCATTGTCATGAGAATACTCTTTTCGGATATGAAAACTGATAACTGACAATTATATAATATATGCCGCACCACACAACAAATTAGTCCGTCCACTCGACCATGTTCATTTGTCAACCAATAGTATTTGGCAGCCTCAAAGAAATGATTTGGCAGAGATTTCATGTGATTATCGTTAGGGTTTAACAGTTTGGCGCCTTTATTATACGACATACATACGCACGCACGATCGCACGCACGCTCAAAGTATATAAAGGTAATTTATGAACCATATGCATATATTTTGAAAGTTGCAGTACATGTTTATAAATTCTAGTCTATTCATGTTGAAAAATATTCGGAAACCATATCAGTTTGATCAAAAGTATTATATACCGAGCTGTTAATAGCCCCTTGGTAGATGTGGAACTAAGACCACTATCTACTGTAGATCTACCTAACCAGCTTATAAGGGGGTATATCAGCACATGGAGGAAAGCTAATCTGTCTCAGCTGACCTGCCATGAATACTTCATAAGTGAAATTAATCGCCAAGGTTGATAGCTCCACCCGATCTCCGAAACTGATACAATAACGTACACGCAACGCAGTCCCATTTTACACCGCTGTCAACCATCTAGCCGAGACAATCAGTTCACCATTACATGCGAACCTGAGCGAGGGTTCTCACAGGAGGAGTCAGCTGCGCATAGACGGAGACGTTACATGTACATATACATTTTCACTATAGTTTAACGCAAAAGAACCGGGTTCGATTCGCGACATGGGTGCATTGTGTGAAGCCCATTTCTTGTGTTTCCCGCCGTGATATTACTGAAATATTGCTAGAAGCGGCCTTAAACCATACTCACTCACTCACTCACCTGAATACTGCCGACCCGGTAATTCCTTTCCGACTTCCGTGAGATGAGACTAGTGTTGTATGATAAACGAGGTTGCAGTCATCGTTGTTTGGGATTAAAAAACAATCAGATTTCGAGTATACATATGTTGTTGCAACTATATTTTCCATTCAAGTGTAATTATGACTGACAATTAAATTAAAACTCAACATGAAGATGTGATCTGCACAGGGGAGTACGGAGCACCCGTAACAGTAGACTATGACACACTCTCTTACCGGGACAGGCTGCAATATGCGGAGGGATACAAACAGCACTACTTTAACCAGTACGTGAGTGACATGGTCTCCGTCAGAAGACGACTGTTCGATGATAGACCTAAAAGGTATGGCATGAACACATGTACCAATAATATATGTATATATTATATATTATATGTAGTATATAGTGTCACACAATAGCAAAACTAGTCGTAGAAGTAGTAGTTTGTAATAGAAGTAGTAGCAGTAGTGGCAGTAGTAGTAGTAGTAGTAGAAGTAGTAGTAGTAGTAGTAGTAGTGGTAGTCTGTAATGGTAGTAGTATAAGTAGTACTTTGTAATAGTAGTAGTAGCACTAGCAGTAGTAGTGGTATTAGTAGTCGTTTGTAAAAGTAGTAGCAGCAGCAGTAGCAGGGGTAGTTGTTTATAGTAATAGAAGTAGAAGTAGTAGTTATAATAGCTGTAGTAGTAGTAGTAGTTGTAGTAGTAGTAGTAGTAGTAGTAGTAGCAGCAGCAGTAGTTTGTAGTGGTAGTAGTAGTAGATTGTATTAACTTAGTAATGGTAGTGGTAGTAGGCGTTTGTAAAAAAAACAGTTGCAGTGCAGTAGCAGTTGCAGTGGTAGTAGTTGATAGTATAGATGTAGCAGTAGTAGTAGTAGTAGTAGTAGTAGTAGTAGTAGTAGTTTGTAAATGTAACAACTACCTACATAAACAGCAACATGTTTACTGGTTAGATTTTATCAACATCGTTTTGACAGGAGAATTGAGGTGATATATCGTCGCGCCAAGGAATACATCATGCATATACTGTCTGCAGTAAATCACACACGAGCGAAATGAAATGTTATGAAACGTAACACTCGATGCCAGAACTACTGGCAGTGGTTTCCATGGCAAGATCGTGAAGATCAGTATAGAAAATACATGCTAATTATAAATAACTTATCCGACATATATTACGGTGTTTGCAACAGTAGTTGATGTTTTGTTATTGCAAAGTTTTTATATTTGGATATTTTCAGGTTCTTGCGTGCAGGGTTATAACCTGGAAATATACGTTCATAAGTTGCAGGACAAGGCTCTACTCGGGGAAGTTACCGGAAGTAAGCGTCATCATATCATTCCATAACGAGGCTTGGTCAACACTCCTCCGGTCAATCCACAGTATTCTGGACAGATCGCCCCCGGACCTACTGAGGGAGATTATTCTCGTGGATGACCTCTCCAATAATGGTAAATAATTCTTATAGCTCTACTTTTCAAACTGCAATGATCCGAAGGATTTCCGTAAAGAGTCCAACCGATGATAGTGAGATATATCAAAATGTGTCGTGATGGTAATGGAGAACCAGACTGTTACATGCCGAAATATTTAGATTTTTTTCCAGTAACAAACGCTCTTCTAGTAAATAAATATTAAGATACGGTGAAGCCTGATGATAATTAGCGGGGCTCGTTTAACAAAGCCATCGAAGTGCTATGATTGATGGTACATACAAAACGTCCACGCAATAGAATATCCAGGCTGGATTATACGACGAAACATATTCCAAAGGGCGTAAAGGCAAACAAGAGTTGACTAGAACATTAAGTTTAACGTCCGTCCAAGATTGCTGCACTTATATAGCCACGTGCATACACCTGTGTGTGTGGCTGCTTGTATTTGTCCGGATTAATACCGATTGTATCGTGTAAGCCAACTGAGATGCCATGCCGCAGTTTAACATGAATACCCTACTCAGACACAGTATACTGACTCCGAGCCGACCAGTCCTTGTTTTAGCCCCTTAATGCCGAGTTTATAGTGCTAGCTCACTGAGATGCCATGCCGCAGTTCAACATGAATACCCCACTCAGACACAGTATACTGACTCCGAGCCGACCACTCCTTGTTTTAGCCCCTTAATGCCGAGTTTATTGTGCTAGCCCACTGAGATGCCATGCCGCAGTTCAACATGAATACCCCACTCAGACACAGTATACTGACTCCGAGCCGACCAGTCCTTATTTAGCCCCCTAATGCCGAGCGCCAGACAGGGTAACAACAAGTACCATCTTTTAACGCTTTTTGGCATGACGCGGCAAGGGATTGAACCCTGGACTTTCCGCTCTCTCTACCACTAGGAGCTGCATTAAAATAAATGAGAAATGCAAAGCTCAATCTCGGAACACTTGTGTTTATTCATGTCATCAGTGTAAATGATGTACTCCAATATTTCCTTCTGTTTCTCGTCCAAGGTTTAATATAAGATGGCCATGTCTGATATATGTCATGTTCTCTCCAATTTCACTAAAATCAGACCTTAGTTCTCGCTACCGCTAAACAAAGATCTGAGCACATCCCATTACGGGTCAAGTTAGACCGACCTTGCGCGAACTTTGACCGACCAATAGAATGACCAATCAGAAGGCCGCTTTCTCGTGCTTTACGGCACTAATTTCAAATTGGCGGCTACGCTTTGAAACACATTTTGACAAATTCTCGATTACAAATTTGAAACCTTAACAAAAGAACATTCTGGAATGGCTAATAGATGGTCTAGATTGTATGGATTCAGTCGTTAAACCTGTAACTATCGTTCGGAATACCCCGTGTAAAAATTTTCGAGGTTGTATGATTAGAAATCACATTCCGACTGTCATTTTCATGATCTGGTAAGCGACGCTCTCATTGGTCGAATGAAAGGTCGTTCTGATGTGACCCCTAATGGGATGTCTTCAGGTCTTTGTCTAGCGGTAGCGAGAAGTAAGGTCTAATTTAAATGAGATTGTGCTCTCTCAAATGTCGGAGGATATGAAAATTACCTGTCTGTCCAATAAGGTTATCTGAAGACTCCACTTGAGGAATATATAGCCACTCTCGTCAAGGTCACACTCCTCCGCACCACAACGAGACAGGGCGTGGCACGTTCTCGACTCCTTGGTTACGCTGCTGCACGAGCTCCAGTTCTGATCTTCATGGACTCACACACTGAATGTTTCCCAGGTAACAAGTCACTTGAAAATTGGATTTGGCCAAAACGTTATCTAAACGTTACTAGGCTGAAAACAGTCACCGAACCACTGACAACTATAGGTCCAAAACGAGGCGACTAACGGGATCGTTAGGTCAGGCTCGCTGACTTGGTTGCTGCATGGCTTCACATCCCAATTGCGTAGATAGATGTCCCTGTCACTCACTAGATTGTCTGGTCCAAGGTCGATTACTTACACACCACCGTCGTAAACCCGTAATATTGCTATGTGCGGCGTTAAACAACAAACAAGACAAACAGTATCAAACAATATCCGACTATATCATGAACATGTGAGTCGCTCGTCACAAATACATGCAAAGGCTAGACAAATGTTCACCTGCAAATTCACGGAAACAAAGTCATGACAGTGAATTGCATCGGACATCATTCTGGTCACCGAAGGGGCGGTCGGGTAGCCTTGTGGTTAAAGCGTTCGCTCGTCACGCCGAAGACCCGGGTTCGATTCCCGACATGGGTACAATGTGTGAAGCCCATTTCTGGTGTCCCCCGCCGTGATATTGCTGGAATATTGCTAAAAGAGGCGTAAAACCATACTCACTCACTCTGGTCACCGAAACCTAAAATTTGATAATAACCTCCACATGTCTACCATAAATCCTTTTGAAAGCCTTACTCGGGACTTGAGTGACGTAACTCTGAATAACAAATGATTTATGCAAAGTATTAATTGATTTTTGTTATTTTACTTGACAGTTGTAAATAAGATCTAGCGAGGTTTTTAGGCCCATGACGTTACATAATTTGAGTGAGTGCGGATGATTTTACGCCGCTGTTGGCAATATTCCAGCAATATAACAGCGGGGGACACCAGAAATAGGCTTCACACAATGTATCCATGTCGGGAATCGAACCCGGGTCTTCGGCGTGACGAGCGAACGCTTTAACCACTAGGCTACCAGGCCGCCCCACAGATGATTGTTTAATTTAAATTAAGTCAATTCTTTGTTTGAGATAATGCATTACATAAATGGCCGATAGTGACAACATGTGATCCTCCTCTATGATGAGGTGATAGATGTGGGTATCATGTACGTATACCTTATGGTAGAAAATAAATTCAACTAGCGTAAGATATGTTCCGTCCACAGGCTGGCTGGAACCGTTGTTAGAGGTAATATCACTGGACCCTTCTACCGTTACCTTCCCGGTGATCACCCCAATTGATCCCGATGACTTTCGTTCCCGGACGTCGTTGCCTACACATCGAGGCGGTTTCAGTTGGGAAGGCTTGAGGTTTGTGTGGGACGCCATTCCTGCCAAGGAACAAAACAAAAGAACAGAGACTGAGCCGATAAGGTAAACTGTCAGTGAGTGATAATGGAGTGTGGTGAAATATGGTTTAACATCGCGTTCACGACTTTGTCACTAACCTACAGTGTGTGGCTTCTTATACTAGTAGGACGTTTTGCCTGTTTTATAGTGCTAGACCAATGAGATACCATGCTGCAGTTTAACATGGATACCCAACTCAAACACATAAATGCCGTCCGAGTCGATGGGCTTGTTTCAACGGGGGGTCGTTTAGCCTAGTGGTTAAAGCATTCGCTCGTCACGCCGAAGACCTGGGTTCGATTCCCGACATGGGTACAATGTGTGAAGCCATTTTCTTGTGTCCCCCGCCGTGATATTGCTGGAATATTGCTAAAAGCAGCGTAAAATCAAACTCACTCATTCTTCGTCTTTATGCTGAGCGCCAATAACAAGTACCATACTTTAACGTATTTTGGGTGGCCGACATTCTGCTCGACGGGCAGACACTCTATCAAAGACACCGCTGAGGCAAGAAGTGCAAAAGGGTGCAAGGCAATGGCCTGTTTCATATATATGTTGCACGTATAACACATAGAAATGGGTGACTGATGGAGTTTTGGTTTAAACGCAGCTTTGAACAGTATTTCAGTTGTATCAGTCGTACCAGCTTCATGTCAGGGAATTCCTACGTGAATCACGGTAAGGCGATGACGAACCCAAAAACATAACCAGGAAGAACTGAGATTCGAACCCACGATCAAAGGCAAGCAAGAAAACAAACTGCTTGCCTGAAGGGTACATTGATCTTACAAAGACGGAACATGACCTGATCATGTCAGTTTGTGTGTTATTTCCAGATCCCCCACGATCCCAGGGGGAGTGTTTGCCATCAACAAGGCCTTCTTTGAAATACTCGGAGGTTTTGATCCAGGGATGATGTTCTGGGGAGGGGAAAACCTGGAACTCTCCTTTAAGGTGGGGTTGACTATTCTTTCAAATGTTGAATCTTTTATAGAGCGAGCCAGAATTGTAACCTAAACAAAGACAACGTTCATTAACACTCTCAGATCACTCTCATGATCATCATGTGTGTGAACAATTAAGAAGTAGTAGTAGTAGTTTTAGTAGTAGTAGTAGTAGTAGTAGTAGTCGTAGTAGTAACAGTAGTAATAGTGATTATTGTAGTTATAGTAGTTGCAGTAGTAGTCATTTTAGTAGTAGTAGTGGTAGTAGTAGTAATAATAGCAGTAGTAGTGGTTGTAGTAGTAGTAGTAGTTGTAGTAGTAGTCATTTTAGTAGTAGTAGTAGTAGTAGTCATTTTAGTAGTAGAAGTGGTAGTGGTAGCAGTAGTAGTAGTAGTAGTAGTGGTAGTAGTAGTAGTGGTAGTAGAAGTAGTAGTAGTAGTCCTTTTAGTAGTAGTAGTAGTAGTAATAGTAGTAGTAGTAGTAGTAGTAGTCATTTTAGTAGTAGTAGTGGTAGTAGTAGTGGTAGCAGTAGTAGTAGTTGTAGTAGAAGTTGTAGTAGTAGTTGTAGTAGTAGTCGTAGTAGTTGTAGTAGTAGTAGTCGTAGTAGTAACAGTAGTAATAGGGATTATTTTAGTTATAGCAGTTGTAGTCATTTTAGTAGTAGTAGGGGTAGTAGTAGTAATAATAGTAGTAGTAGTGGTAGTAGGAGTGGTAGTAGTAGTAGTAGTACTAGTCACTTTAGTAGTAGTAGTAATAGTAGTAGTAGTAGTAGTCATTTTAGTAGTGGTAGTAGCAGTGGTAGCAGTAGTAGTAGTTGTAGTAGTTGTAGTAGTAGTAGTAGTCATTCTAGTAGTAGTAGTGGTAGTAGTAATAATAGTAGTGGTAGTAGTAGTGGTAGCAGTAGTGGTAGCAGTAGTAGTAGTAGTAGTAGTAGTAGTAGTAGTAGTAGTAGTAGTAGTAGTAGTAATAGTAGTAGTAGTAGTAGTAGTAATAGTATTGGACACTGCCATACACGTTTGGATTCCTGGTAGATGTGGGCTGGGGGTTGTCCAAGTGTCTCTGAAGGTGGATCGGGAGGTCATGACGGACATATCTGATTTCGTGTTACTGTGGCCCCGATGGAGTATCGTTGATCATGCTTGACTACCGGTTTGTCCGCAATCAAACTGATTATTACAACACATTTCACACTTGCTCCAGGTTTGGATGTGCAATGGCAGTATACTCCTTCTGCCATGTTCACAAGTTGGTCACGTGTTCCGGAACTCCAACCCTGTCACGTGGCCAAACAGAGAGGAGGTTGCCAACGTTAACACAGTGAGAGTAGCGGAAGTGTGGATGGATGCATACAAGAACTATGTGTATGATCCATCCTTCTTGAAACCGGTGAGCATGTGAAGCAGTAGCAACAGAAGTTGAAGTACAAGTGGTGGTGGGAGAAGTTGTAGTGGTAGTAGTAGTAGCAGCAGTAGTAGCAGTAGTAGCAGCATAAGTAGAAGTAGAAATAGTAGTAGTAGCCGCAGTAGAAGCAGTAGCAATCGTAGTAGTGGTAGTAGTAGCAGTAGTAGTATCAACTGAAGTAGTAGCAGTAGCAATAGTAGTAGTGGTAGTAGCAGCAGTAGTAGTAGCAGTAGCAATGGTAGTAGTAGCAGAAGCAGTGGTAGTAGTAGCAGTAGCAATGGTAGTAGTAGCAGTAGCAATGGTAGTAGTAGTAGTAGCAGCACTAGTAGCAGTAGCAATAGTAGTAGTATTAGCAGGAGTAGTAGCAGTAGCAATACTAGTAGTAGTAGCAGTAGCAATGGTAGTAGTATTATCACTAGTAGCAGTAGCAATAGTAGTAGTAGCAGCAGTAGTAGCAGTAGCAATACTACTAGTAGTAGTAGCAGTTTAGTAGAAGCAGAAGCAATGGTGGTAGTAGCAGCACTAGTAGCAGTATCAATAGCAGTAGTAGCAGCAATAGTAGTAGAAGTAGCAGCAGTAGTAGTAGTAGCACTAGTAGCAGTAGCAATAGTAGTAGTAGCAGCAGTAGTAGCAGTGGACATGATAGTTGCAGTAGCAGCAGTAGCAGTAGTAGCAGAAGCAGTAGCAATAGCAGTAGTAGCAGCAGTAGTAGCAATAGTAGTAGTAGCAGCAGTAGAAGCAATAGTAGTAGTAGCAGCAGTAGTAGCAGCAGCAGTAGCAAAAGTAGTAGTAGTAGCAGCAGTAGTAGCAGTAGTAATAGTAGTAGTAGCAGCAGTGATAGCAGCAGCAGTAGCAATAGTAGTAGTAAGAATAGTAGTAGTAGCAATAGTAGTAGCAGTAGTAGTAGCAGCAGCAGTAGCAATAGTAGTAGTAGTAGCAGCAATAGTAGTAGTAGCAGCAGTAGTAGTAGCAGCAGTAGTAGCAATAGTAGTAGCACTTATAGTTCGCACTATTATTACACGTTATGGGGAGTAGTACAGTTTGTAGTTGTAGGGTTTTCTGTAGGCTAAAAAGTGAAACGTTTACTAATTATGTAAATCTTATAAACATGGTTTCAATAGGACAATTACGGGGACATAACCCTCCGTCAAGCTCTGAGGCAGCGCCTTCGCTGTCACGACTTCCACTGGTACATGCGCAACGTCTACGCGGAGAAGCAGGTTCCCCATCGTCTCGTCGCATCTGGAGAGGTTAGACCACGTGACCATGTAGGATCTAACTGAGAGAATGTGCACATGCCTTCATATATGATCACTTCACGGCAGAAGGAAATGACTAATGGTGAAGGATACCTTTGGGTAATGATATTGTTGGTTGTAGTAATTACAGTAGTTGTAGTGGTGGTGATGACGGTGGTGGTGGTTGTTGCGTTTGCAATGGCGGTGGTGGTGATGACGGTGGTGTTGGTGGCGGTGGTGGTAGTTCTAGTTGAATCTGTAGTAGAATATGTAGAGTGTGTCATGGGAAATGATAAATACCAAATTCTTCTGGAATACGCTCGTATGCAGCCTCAGACTTATCCAGGCCAACTAACCTGATCTTGTCCTTTTTGATAAATCCCATGAATATTATTGAATTTTCTGTCCCTTTTGACACTAATGCGATTGACAAGATTCAGAAAACAATATGGCACGAATTGTCACGCATGCATCCCAAGTACCAAGCTGGCCGACCCCCTATTGTTCTCGGTGCCATAGGTTTTGGTACATCCCAATCTGTTGACTGACATTGGGAGAGTACCCCCTGCTGCCAGGACTACAGCCCTTCTGACAATCAGGGCAATGCAGGAGGCTGCAATTTTAGGAATCTTTATATTCTCCGAAACGTTCTGGACTCTACTCGGCATCGCTTCCTTGGAGAAGTCCCATTCGCTGTCTGGGTTGCGTGTAGAAGGGGCAAGGGCCCTGAAATGATGATGCGCCTTACCAGTCTGACTGTGCCAGGATCACCCAAACCCTCTTTGCTGCATTTATTTATTTTATGATATTTATTATATCATGTTGCAGTAGTTGCAGAATATGAAGAAGTGGAATCTGTATTTAGTGCATCACTGTTAGATATATTTGGCCACTCGTGGCCCAGTGGTTAAGGCCACTGGTCATCATGTCGAAAATCCATGTTCGATACCACAAAGGCACAATGCATGAAGAAACATTTATGATGGTATCGGATTGTTGCTGAAGACGGCGTAAAGTCACTTACTTTTGTAACGTATATTTGATAGGTTCGACCTGCTGGGTCCCGTCACTGCGTGACAAGCCTGAGTGGACAGAATCTCCACCTGAGGCCGTGTCATGGACAGGGTGTAAACCAGGTAAATGCAGGGTGTCGAGTAGCGAGGGGTGGACGCACACGATGTAGCTGGGTGGCACATACTTTCGAACCAATTCGCAGTGTATGTCATTCATTGATCCCTGTACAGTTCCCTACCGTGGTCAAGTGGTAGAGCGTCCGCCCGGAGAGCGGAAGGTCCGGTGTTCGATCCCCGGCCGCGTCATACCAAAAGACGTTAAAAGATGGTACTTGTTGTTACCCTGTCTGGCGCTCGGCATTAGGGGGCTACAACAAGGACTGTTCGGCTCGGATTCAGTATACTGTGTCTGAGTGGGGTATTCATGTTAAACTGCGGCATGGTATCTCAGTGGGCTAGCACTATAAATCGGCATCAGTCCGGACTAGTACAAGCACACACACACACACACGTACACACACACACACAGACACACACACACAGACACACACACACAGAGAGACACACACGCGCGCGCGCTATATAAGTGCAATAATCTTGGACGCGACGTTAAACCCAATTTCACCTCACCTCACCTGTAGAGTTGTTTTCATTCCAAACACCACACGCACCATACCACAGTCAGTGGTAATAATATTACAGCTATCTGACGTCGGTTTGTAAATAACCGAACTGACCTGAAAACCATTAGGCTACTGCACCGTCCCTGTTGTAAGAGTATATGTGATAGATGGATGCACTGTTAGACAATGTGAAACATGTGGAAATGTAATTAGAATTAATATGGCATGGATTGATTCCAAGGTTTTCGGGGCGTGATCTGTGGTGTGTCGTGTGTGTCGTGCGATCTGTCGTGTGTGTCGTGCGATCTGTCGTGTGTGTCGTGTGATCTGTGGTGTGTCGTGTGATCTGTGGTGTGTCGTGTGTGTCGTGCGATCTGTCGTGTGTGTCGTGTGATCTGTGGTGTGTCGTGTGTGTCGTGCGATCTGTCGTGTGTGTCGTGTGATCTGTGGTGTGTCGTGTGATATGTGGTGTGTCGTGTGTGTCGTGTGGTCTGTGGTGTGTCGTGTGTGTCGTGTGATCTGTGGTGTGTCGTGTGTGTCGTGCGATCTGTCGTGTGTGTCGTGTGATCTGTGGTGTGTCGTGTGATATGTGGTGTATCGTGTGATCTGTGGTGTGTCGTGTGATCTGTGGTGTGTCGTGTGTGTCGTGTGTGTCTGTGGTGTGTCGTGTGTGTCGTGCGATCTGTCGTGTGTGTCGTGTGATCTGTCGTGTGTGTCGTGCGATCTGTCGTGTGTGTCGTGCGATCTGTCGTGTGTCGTGTGATCTGTGGTGTGTCGTGTGTGTCGTGCGATCTGTCGTGTGTGTCGTGTGATCTGTGGTGTGTCGTGCGATCTGTCGTGTGTGTCGTGCGATCTGTCGTGTGTGTCGTGTGATCTGTGGTGTGTCGTGTGTGTCGTGCGATCTGTCGTGTGTGTCGTGTGATCTGTGGTGTGTCGTGCGATCTGTCGTGTGTGTTTCGTGGTCTGTGGTGTGTCGTGTGGTCTGTGGTGTGTCGTGTGGTCTGTGGCGTGTGGCGTGTGGCGTGTGGCGTGTGGCGTGTGGCGTGTTGTCTGTTTTTTGTGGTGTACAACTTGTTTCTGTGTTTCATATATTCTTAGCTGTGGCAAATAACTCAACAAGGAGACTTCCAACAGGATAACATGTTCATCTGCACTTTGGACATGACCAGCCTCCATCTGGACCGGACATGCTCAGACAGACACAACTGGGAATACAGGGAGGTAAGCCGAGTGCCAAGGTTGGTTGAACATTTTAAAGAAATATTTTCTAATACCGTAAACAAGGGTGACGTTTACATATAGTTGCATTTCACCATGTATGTACATTGTAGATGATGTTAATCTAACACCACAACGTACAAGCTGCAATTTGACATTGCTTATTTAAGAGGTTTTCTTGAAGGTTTTCAAAGTGAACATACCCGATAATTTCCATTTCCCAATTTCCAAGTGGTAAAAAAGGACCCATATCATAACTCGTCCTTTTTGTTTCTACAACGCTCTCAAGTCAGTCGGGGGTAATAGTTGGTTAATGGATAGAGGTGCAATGCCCACGTGTTGGTGTATTTTGTATCTGCAGTAACTCCGTGTTCCACATCCTCTTTTCAGGATGATACTTTGTACCATCGGTTACTCCAGCTCTGTCTCCAAGCCAACCCAGATGGCATCATTGAAATTACAATCTGTGACTCCTCACCCTCGCAACAGTGGAACATTATCCGGACGTAGGTCTGCAACAGTTGGGGAATTTAGGTTTTCATTCTGCCTGACAGTGGTACATCATGCGGACATAGGTCTTCACAGTCTGGTAGTGTTACATCATGCGGACATAGGTCATCACACAGTCTGGTAGTGGTACATCGTGTGGACAAAGGTCATCATACTGTCTGGTAGTGGTACATCATGCGGACATAGGTCTTCACACTGCCTAGCAGAAAGACATCAGGCTGACACAGGTTTTCACACTGCCTGGCAGTTAGACATCAGACTGACATAGGTCTTCACACTGCCTGGTAGTTAGACATCAGGCTGACACAGGTTTTCACACTGCCTGGCAGTTAGACATCAGGCTGACATAGGTCTTCAAACTGCCTGGTAGAGAGAAATCATGATTACATTTGTCTACAATTTACCTGGCAGATAGACATCAGTCGGATACAGGGAGCGACACTACGTGACAGTAACAGTTACTTGGCAGGAAACTATGTATGAAAACGAGTTTGTTTTATTTCCTGTGAGTATTTATAAAATGTATTTACAATAATATAAAATGTATTTGTAATTGGAATGGAATATACCTGACTCAGTACATATTCCATTAATTACACATGTGTGGTGTGCACATTTGCAATTGGGGTGAATATGACATACTTCCTGCCTTAGCGTTTGGTGATTAGTATCATCGTTGGTATTGATCGACATTTATTCATGACAAATGTAGGCCTCCGGCTCATGCTCATATGGGTGGTCAGTCAGCATATAATATATGTAACAATAAACATTAGCAGTCAACATGCATCTTTCTGAAGCAATTTGCATGAAACATATACTTAGCCAGGTGTCAAATTTCATTCGTATCCGTTGATGCCAAAAGCATATTGTATTTGTTACGTGTAGGGTATGATATACATTTAGTAGGTATGTACTTCTCACGCAGTGTTTTATACCGGACACAAACCATCAAAAATTGTATTCATCTTCGACGTAACCTTCATTACAAAGAGTGCACAACCTCTTAATCTCTTGGAATGTTGAAATACCTGTCAGTTTCTATTTTGAGAACATGGGAACAGCACTGGGGGCTAAGTCTGGGCTGTACAGTTAAATCACCCACCCTACAGCCCAGACTTAGCCCCAAATCACTATTTCCTGTTCAGGCAAATGAAATCTGCCCTACGTGGGAGACGCTTCCAGGATGACGAGGACATGAAGGCTGCCACAGAGGCGAGGTAAGAGCGCCAATCTGCGGATTTCTATAAAAATGCTAGTAAAAGCTTCAAGGATAAATGGAATAAGTGTATTGAGGTGAATGGAGATTATATTGAAAAATAAAAGTGCAAAAGATATTCTGCGACTTGGTCTTATATTGAAGTTGCAAAACTTATTGAATGCCCCTCGTATTAGATGAATGAATATCTCCGTTTATGAAAAGGAACAATGATTCCCACCGATCATGCTTCCGGAAAGTGTGTAGAATTGAAAATGACATTTGAGGGAGGTGGCTAGAATTAATTTTTTTTAATTATTTGTTCCAGAAAAATAGTTGATAAAAACATATTTGTCTTCTGGTCTTACCCAATAATTCGTGGGTCATTCTGGATGTCCTGAAAGTATGTTTTGAATGTGGAAATATCTTGTCTACCAAAATAAATACAGAACCCACAAGAACACAGGTTCATAGTGTTGGAGGAAGGCTGGGACCCTCTGACACGTTATTGCTCCTGGCCAAAAACAGATCTCCGTCTTGTCCTCTGATTATTGCGGCAAGTCAACTGAAACCACAAACAGACATCACCAAAGTGTCGCATACTGACAAAATATACTGGTCCAGGACAACCTTCTCCATCGCCGAACACTCAAACGTTCGGGATGGGCGATCTATGTGAGCAATCTGCCCTTTTACTTCTAGATAGGAGTCAGGAAATACCTTTTTAAACCGATTCCTGACCTGCTCTGAATTCGTTGCAAAGAACAGCTTATCATAACCCGGATGTCGTCTACTTTTGAGAAAACGGATCAGGCTTTCCGGATCATGCCGATGAGCCTTTCGGCTGTCATCTCTCGCGATTGTCCGGCTCTTTCCCATTCGTATATGGGCACAGGCTTGATTTTGGTGATTTGGATAAATTGTTGCAATTATTTCATCGTATACATTTTGTGTTTTATCCGAAAGTTTGAATAGTTTTTTAAATGCGTATTTATAAATATCAAGGTGATTTAATTTCCGAGCCCAAGAGACTTTGTGAAACAACGGAATTTTCATGAGATAAGGAACCAAATCTATATTTCCAGTGTACATAGTACCGTCGTTCTGAAACATTGCTCCCAGATCTCATGTAGCCATAGCAACCCCCATGCCATCACCATCCATATCAACAAACCATTCCTTTTTCAAATGTGCTAATGTTCTACTATCAAATGTCCAATCCATGTCGTTAGGGATGACGAACTCTGAGATGTCACACGGCTTGAACATGCTAATGCCAAACAGCCGTCCTAACATCTGCGACAACACAAAGGCTGTGACAATCCCCTTCTGCCTGTCCGCCAGCCCGCCAGCCCGCCACAACGTCCTGTGTTACAGGTGTAGACGATGTACTTATCCTTGACTGTCTCCTTTTGATCTGGTCTTCCATGCATCTTCTTATCACTGATTCTGGATGATGATGTACTCATTCCGCCAGTATCTCCCATGTTCACGATGCTAAACACATACATCTTCACTTGCATGGCGCATGGAGCAATAATACAAAGGATCACACATCCCAGGAAGACCCACAGGAGACGTCCATTCTGAAACACAAAATAATTAATCCATTATTATAGATTTCTTGGGCGCCTGAAGGGGTCAATGCTGCCGAGAAAAACTGCGTAGTCCCTGAAAAGACGTGAAAGAGGCATGAAGTGTGAAATTATTTCTGGATAACAGTTTCATTATTGTTGTTGAAGATGGGCAAGAAGTAGCCCTGAAACGTCGTTATAAAATGTACTGTGTAAAATCGTTAATTTGTTCGGTTCTACATTTCACGTGAGGTGAGGTGAAATGGGGTTTAACGTCGTCACGCTCACGATTATTGCACATATGTAGCGGCGTGTACATGTATGCACACATGCGCGCGTTCTGTGTCTGCTTGTGCTGGTCAGAACTGTTGCAAATGGAATAAGGTTCGTATCGCAGAAGTCACCATCAGCATCGTAGCCTAGTTCGTGCGTTTCAACAAAATGGCAAGCATCTGCGAAACAAAAGATCACTGTTCTCATCCCAAGTCGTGGTAAAGCTGGATTTTACAACAGGAGTAACATAATCTGTTCCCACGATGTGTACAATGCAGCTAATATGATGATATACGAACCACAACCCTCTATGACCAAACACCGGTCGAGGGTTCGATCCCCGCCGCGTCACACCAAAAGACGTTAAAGGATGATACTTGTTACCCTGTCTGGCGCTTGCCATGAAGGTGTAAAACAAGGACTGGTCGGCTCGGAGTCAGTATACTGTGTCTGAGTGGGGTATTCATGTTAACCTGTGGCATGATATCTCATTGGTCTAGCACTATTAATCGGCATCAGTCCGGACTAGTACAAGCAGCCACACACACATACACACGTCCATGCACGTCCCTATGTAAGCGGAATAATCTTGGACGCAACGTTAAACCCAATTTCACCTCTCCTACTAACAAACTGTGAAACTCGTCTCAGGAGCCACTGAAGGTCTTCCGCTGTGAGGGATTTTCCTCACGTACCTGTTGGCTCAACTAACAAGAGTGCGACACTACAGTCTTTTGGATTCCTTTGGACGTATACCACCTAGCATTCTCGTTTCCATAGCAACTCTGGCATCTGTCTGTAAATACGGAAATCGTCCACCGAAATAAACAGGTATCATGATGCGTTTAAAGTTTCGGGCATGAACCTTTACTTTCTTGCCCTTACATGTGTTTGTGGCGGGTGCCATCGATGGGGAAGGGAACACCCACCCTTCCGCTAACACCTGGTGTCATCACTATTTGATAGTGAGTTAGAAAAACATGTTTATGCTGCCGTTGGAATCGGACCATGAACTTCCTTTAGATTATGGACATGTTTTTGTCGCTTTTTTTCTATATTAATTATATATCTTAATTAGATTATGTAAAAACCATTGTGGACGAAGACGCCCTGTAGGGGTTTCTGCTATTAAAATTCCACGTTCGTAATATGCAGTGTGTGGGTGAGTGAATGAGTTAGTGCATGGGTTTCGTGCTAACATTCAACACATGGCATGGCGAAAGACACCCACACTTGCTTACACACATGTCGATGTTAAGAATTTAACTGGATCTTTGACGTTGTGAACTAATGCTTAAACTACTGGACTTCTCCATAACTTTCTCCATTGTCGTAAATATAAGTCGCCCACGTGACCGTCAGTTTCATGGCACAAACATTTTACCTTGGCTGTGAATCGGAGTGAAAGATCCTTGGTGATGGCAGTTCATCTTGTTCTTCCTCGGTCCTGCATTCCAGCCAGGCAGAATTCTGCCAGTGTTTGGCGTACTCGGCCTTGCCTGCCACGATCATGTTGAGGATCTCCCACGTCCAGTGAGTGCCTGGAACATTGCATAGTATACAGACTTTATTTATCTTTTTATTCTTGTGTGATAAACATATCTTCAAGCAGACACTTTGGGTGGCACCTCAAAACAGAGAAGGGCTATCCTGTCCTCACAAGATGTACCGGCGTTTACAGAGGACTCAAAGACCATGGTAGACGTGGATATTTCAAGAAGGGTGTGTTGCACGTGGGCAACCAGCGTGCAACTTCAAACGCACGCCCAGTTCACAAGGTACAGAAAAATAACAGCCAGGAGCCTCGATGACAGTCTAGGGATACTAATGGGCCTGGGGTCCGTTCCACAAAGTGATCGTAGCGCTAAGATGATCGTAACTCCCATACTTTAACATAGACGTACGACAGTTGTAGCACTACGATCGCTTTGTGGAATCGGGCCCTGGTGAAAAGGGACTTGGCCGGACCTTAGTAGGACCAAATCTCCCAGATCACATGGATTTTGAGATATAGATGGTCTTCTCAATACCCTGGAGGACGATGATTTTATGGAGTAAAATCATGGCTTCATACTTATGATGTATCTAAATATTTTACTGAATTCACCATCTACACAGATGCTCTAAAGCTTTCATCATGCGACCTAGTTGAAACACATGTAAAATAACTACTTGTGAAGAACTGCATTTAACCATGTAGATTTATTTAAATTGTCGTCCGTTATAGGTATTTTTCTTAAGGTTTAATGAGAGCGTTTTGGACCATATGTGTGATTTGTTACATGCATACGTGTTTATATTCCGCAATATAAAAAATGTAATGTTTGTTGTTTAACGGAGCATTCCGCAATATTCCGGCTAAATTATCGAGTCTGGACCAGACAGTCCAGTGATTGACATCATGAGCATCGATCCATACAATTTGGATACGATGTCATCCATACGATGTATCGACTAAGTCCAGCTATATGACGGCGGTCTGTAAATAATCGAGTCTTCACCAGACAATCCAGGGATTAATAGCATGAGCATCGATCCACGCAATTGGGATAGATGACATGCATCAACCAAGTCAGCGAGCCTGACCACCCGATCCCATTAGTCGCCTCTTACGACAAGCATTGTCGCCTTTTATGGCAAGCATGTGTTGCCGAAGACCTATTCTACCCCGGATCTTCACGGATCGAAAGTAAAATTGAAAAAAAATAGGACACATGAAGTAGAAGACATAATTTTCGATCAGCTTAGAAGCTTCATGGCGGACCAAGTGATAATTCGCGGTGGGGATTATTATGCTACAACCTGTAGACCCGTGAATATTCTGGGGTAGAATAGGTCTTCAGCAACCCATGTTTGCCATAAAAGGTGACAATGCTTGTCGTAAAAGGCGACTAATGGGATCGGGTGGTCAGGCTCGCTGACTTGGTTGATGCATGTCATCGATCCCAATTGCGTGGATCGATGCTCATGCTATTAATCACTGGATTGTCTGGTGAAGACTCGATTATTTACAGACCGCCGTCATATAGCTGGAATATTGCTGAGCGCGGCGTTAAACAACAAACCAAACCAAATACAACCTGTAAATTACGCAAAGGTATACCGATTTCAAGGATAATACAAAATATAATGTACTACTATCAATGTTGCGAATGTTGATACATTAATGGATATATTTACAAATGCCACAAATGAAGCTGGATATTGTTTTCTTACTCATC